GACAGGGGATCACCTAAGCCTTGGTATTTTCTGGATCTTCCCCACAACTTGGCTGGACCCTCAGAGATTCACATGGCACCGTGGAATCTGGGGGAGCCCAAGTGGTCTTGAGCTTGGCTCCACAGAGCGGTGGCCAACAGACTTCTGGGCTCCTCTGGGAGGCGTGGGCTCTGCGAGGCTGTCCGTGGTCCTGCTGGTCCAGACAGGTCCCTACAGCCATTTCTCCTCTGGGCTACCCCACCATCCAGGGCTGGCGGGGCAGCAGGGTACTCAAGTCTTTCTCTGGAACCTTATAGGTCCTGCTCATTGCATGCCCTCCTTATCTTCCCAGTCCAAGGGAAGTCTTGCTCCTTTTATGTTTCTTCCCAAGCATTTTGTTTATACCAGAATTCTTGTCCCCACCCCACCCCCACCAACTCACCACCCCCACCCCACAGCCTTTGGAAACCCAAGCCAGGAAGATTCTAAGTTTTTCTGTCCACTTCTGAGAATGTGAGCCAACAGGCTGAGGAGGAAGGACAAAAAAAGTGGGGGGGCGGAATGGAGATTAATAGATCAGAAAATATTCTCCTGCACACACAAATCATTTAATCCACACCAAAATCCTGGGGAAATGTTACTATGCCCGTTTTACAGATGAGGACACTGAGGCCCATAGAGGTAAGGGGCATGCTCAAGGGAGATTTGTGTCCAAAACTCACTCTATCTCCACCACGACACTGCTTCAGCTCAGGCTCCAGTGCTGCCCTCTGTGGCTACAGGCACTTGGCAGGCACCTCCTGCTCCCCCAGATGGCATTTGTGGGCCAACATTGTCTTGTCTCTCCACTCAGAACATCCCTGGCCTTCCATCCCTGCCCTCCAGCCAGACAGTGTCCATCAGCGATGGTGGAAAGCTGCCCCTCATGCTGCGCTGAGCCCTGCTTGCCCACACAGCAGCTCATCTGTAGGCATTCCAGCTCTGCCTTTCTGGAGGCAGTGACCCCTCCCTACTGGCTCAGTGAACAGGAGCCCCATTTACAAAGCTCCTCCATCCCTTATCTCATTGGACACCTCCTCACCCCCAATTCAGGCAGCAAGCTCCGGGGCTCAAGATCTAAACCCACCAGGAGCACACAGCAACCCAAGTTCTGAGCCCCCAGAGGAGCCCCAGAAGGGCTAGTGCCAGGACACCCTCCCCGCCTCCCATCCCTGCCCCACCTGTGCTGGCCTTCCCCCTACTCAGAGCAGGAGCCTGGTGGGAAGTGGGAGCTGAGGCCCTCCACTCACACCCTCCACTCACACCCTAGTGCAAAGCAGGTCCTTGCAAGCAGCTAGGAACCACGCAGTACAAGCCGACTGCCCTGGCCATGGTCCCTCCAGCCCAGCACACCACCTGTACTGCCTGCCTGAATGTTTTCTCTTTAAATCAATTGACTTTGCTTTTCATCATGTCGTGCATTACATCTTAGGCTTATTCATCTTTCCTAACCGCAACTTCGTACCCTCTGGCCAACATCTTCCCGTCTCCCCCCGACCCCAGCCTCCCGGTGACCATTCTACTTTCTGCTCTGATGAGCTTGAATCTTTCACATCCCACATGGGAGCGAGATCACGCGGCATTTATCTTTTTGCGTCTGGCTTGGCTCATTTAGCGGTGTCCTCCACGTTTATCCGTGTTGTCACAGGGGCAGGATTTTGTTCTTTAAGGCTGAGTAATATTGCACTGGGATCCTCCTTACCCATCATTGTTCGATGGACACATAGGCTGTTTGCACACCTTGGTGACTGAAAACGATGCTGCTGTGGACGTGGGAGTGCAGAGATCTCTTTGAGGTCCTGATTTCATTTCCTTGGGTATATACCTAGAAGCAGGATGGCTGGATCACATTGTAGTTCTGATGTATTTTTCGAGGAGCCTCTGTGCTATTTTCCACAGCGGCTGCACCAGTTTGCATTCCCCCAACAGTGTACGAGGGTTCTTTCCCCACTTTTTTAAAATTAATTTTTTTTTTCAAATAAAGAGAAAGAGAATATGAGCAGGGGGTAGGGACAGAGGGAGAATCTCAAACTGACTCCGGGCTGAGTGCAGAGCCCAACATGGGCTTGATCTCCAGACCCTGAGATCATGACTGGAGCCGAAATCAGGAGTCAGAAGCTTAACCAACTTCTTTAACTAACTAGTTTTTAACTTAGCCTCCTTTTATAATAATATATGTAATATTATATATATAATACTAATAGCTATAAAATCACAGATGTGATATGCTCATCTTATAACTGCTTAATACATATTAAATTCTCTCTCTTTTTTTTTTTAACAAATGTGCAACTGTCAGGGTGCCTGGGTGGCTCAGTTGGTATAGCGTCTGCCTTTGGCTCAGGTCATGATCCCAGGGTCCTGGGATCAAGCCCTGCATCGGGCTCCTTGCTCGGCAGGAAGCCTGCTTCTCCCTCTCTCTCTCCCTCTGCTTGTGTTTCCTCTCTCACCATCTCTCTCTGTGTCAAATAAATAAATAAAATATTTTTTTAAAAAAAGTGTAACTATTAAAATGAAAAGCGTTCAACCACGTACCAGCTAGAAGAGCATGCCACCAGGGATGGGCTTCTCGCACTGGGAACGCTAGGTCTATTCCCAGCATCAAGGCTGGGAGAGAATGTCGCCCCATCACAGCATGCTACTGTGTTCAGGACATGAGCAATGTCACGTGGAGGCAGAAGCACCAGGTCTACTGCCACCAAGGGTCAGCCCGGAGGGTGTGATACCAGCGCCACGGGTATCAGCTCTGTCCCCCTGCGCCTATGTCCCTTGACCTCTTGGAGTCTGGATTCCTCATTTCCATCATCTCTGCCATGGGGCAGTGACCTTACCCCACCCCTGCAGGCTCCACAGTGTCCCATGCGCCTCCAGCCTTTTCTCTCTGCAGGGTTCATACAGAAGGCGTGACAGTGAACTGGCTTTCAGGGGACCCCACTCACCTTGAGGAGAGCCTTCTCCCCCTTGCCACCAGCCCCTCTTCGGCCACCTTCTGTCAGCACCAAGGCAGTGTCCCTATGAGCCCAGCCTCACATGACCCAGGTTAGGAAGCCTGCCATCTGTCTGGCCAGCTGGACGGGGGCTATCTAGCCTCACAGGCAGGAGCCGTGGACCCCCATTCCCTGGCTGACCTGGTGGGGTTGACCCTGAATTCATTGCTCCCAAAGTGACGAAAGAGACCCCTGAATCCTTCCAACTGCTTCTGATAAGACATGTGGCTCCTTATAAATGAGGCAGCCTGCTGTCACATGGAGACTTCTGCAGAAGGAGCAAGGACAGCCTCATCCTTCAGGCTCAAGGGGCTAGAATAAGTCAAGTAGACAGACACAGTGGGTCACAGTAGGCTGGTGTTGCCATCCCAGGAGCATCTGGAGAGGCCAGAGTCGTGGAGACCCTGCAACCTCGGGCAGTCCCTGCTCAGGTCTGGGGAGCAGCGTCCACGGCTGGAATGTGGACGACCAGCTGCCTGGATGGTGGCAGAACCCTACCTGGGTGCTCTGGGGCACGCTCAGACAGAGAGGTCCAGCTCCTCCTCTTTCAGGGCTCACTGTGAGAGTCGGGGTGAAGGTGCAACGACATCCTAGGGGCTACTCATCTCCCATGTTCCTCAAGGGACACAGACCCTGGTCCTCAGTCCCAAGATGCTTTCACTGTCCTGGGGGAGCCCCGTCCAAGCCCTGCCTCTGTGTGCAAGCTCTCTCCCATTCCATACCAGCAACCTAGCCCCGGGGCCACAGTCTGTCTGTCACTCAGGGGCTGCACTGCCTCCAGAGCCCCGCATCCTGACCTCACATTTCCTCTCTCTCTCCCCCCATCCCTCTGGGGGCAGGCCCCCTGCAAGAGGAGAGCCCCAGCCTGCCTTCAGCCCCTCTCTGCATCCTCCTTCTTGCCCTCCTGGGCCAACCCCACCCCCTGGATCCCCACCAGCTCCTGGCTCCTCTCCAGTTCCCCTAGCCTGGCTCCATGAGGAAGGCTCTTGGAAGCTGGGGTTGGTGCCCCTAAGAGATAGGGCAGGTGGCTGAAGCCTGGGAGGTGGCACAGAGCAGGGTAGCTGGACAGCCACTTTCCAGCCCCTGCATTTCCCCGCTGTGTGACTCCAGGAAACGCTTCTCTTCTCTGTGTTACCGCTTCATTCATAAAACAAGGACAGGGCCAGGTGCCATGGAGCATTGCGGTGGGTTAGATGAGCTTACATGTGCGAGAGCACAGGGTGACGGACTCCCACTAGCGCCAAACCCCAGCTGGCAGGCAGAGGACTGGAAGGCCAGGACCTCAACAAGGAATCCAGAAGTCAGTGATCTGACCAAAGCCTGTTTCCAAGGAATGTGTTTGGGGAACGGCCCAGCCCCCTCCCAACACCAGTTAAATCAGGATCCCTGGATGCAGGGCCCAGTTCTATGTGTTCTGATGCCTGGGTGGCAGCTCAGTCGGTTAAGCAAATGCCTTCAGCTCGGGTCATGATCCCAGGGTCTGGGATCGAGCTTCAGGTAGGGCTGTCTGCTCAGCGGGGGAGCCTGCTTCTCCGTCTCCCTTCTGCTGCCCCCTGCTTGTATTCTCTGCGCGCGCGCGCGTGTGTGTGTGTGTGTGTGTGTGTGTGTGTGAAATAAATAAATCTTAAAAAAAAAAATAAAGCTCCCTAGATGGTTACCCTGTGAGGCCAGGCCAGAGCCCTGCTGTCGAGTCTAATGCAACCTGAGGGCAAGAGGTGTTTTGTCTTCTGTTCTAGAGAAATCCAGAGCTGCCCTGGTGAGTAGTGAGGCTTATACGAGATAATGTGTGTTCTCTCCTTCCTTCATGCCTTCAACATGGGCGATTACTGTGTAGATGCCAAAGATAAAAGGGCACATTGGACCCCACTGGTTCCTGATCTCAAAGAGGTCCCTAATGGGAATGGCTAGCAGGCTAGAGTGCTGGGAATGGTGACAGGCAGAGGGGGAGGCCCTTTGCCCATGCTGGCTCCCTAACACTGCTGCTCCTCTTGGCAGGTTGTAAGGGGCTGTGGGACAACATGAGCTGCTGGCCATCCTCTGCAGTGGGACAGATCGTGGAAGTGGGATGCCCCCAGTTCCTCCGGATGTTCACCGGCAGAAATGGTAACCGCTCAGCCCGGGGGTCTTGGCTGCGAGGCAGTGGGTGACCCTCTGGCTGGGGCCTTGGCCTGGAGGCCAAGAACCTCTGGGGACAAGCAGTGAATGGAATGGTGAGAGGTGGTCCTTCCTGAGGACTGAAGGCCTGGCTTGGGGGTGTGGGGTGGGCTTGATTCAAAGGGTCCCAAGGAAGGGGGCCAGGAGGCAATGTGCTAGGAAGTGATAGAGGAGACTGGGCTTGCTTCTCTCAACCCACATCCCCATTTGGGCTCCCCTACTTCCTTCTATGTTTCTGTCCCCTTAGCAACCAGACCCCTTGCTCCAGCCCCCACGTCTGGGTGCCACTGTGGCACAGCCTAGCTTTCCAGAACACTTCCTTTCTATGTGCCCATTCTGCCAGGCCCAGCTGATAGACTGTGCCCTCTCTGAAAGCCCCTCGCCTCCCAGGTGATCTTTTGCCTGAGGAAAACTGTAGTTTACGAGGATTTTCTTAATTTGAGGAAGGGAGAAAGGGAGACTGTCTCAGACAGGGGACGTTCGGAGACGAACTTGGGCTCACACCCCACCACGTGCCAGTTATTTTTATATACATGGGCTCACTGAACCATCACAAGTCCCCTGCCAATGACAGACCGTGTCTCCTCCTCTTGACCCAGGAAGGAGCGACAGTAACAGGGAGTTAAGAGGAGTTAACCCTAGTACATTGCCTAAGCTTCACAACTAGAAGATGGAGAAACTAAGATTCAAACCCAGATTTGTCCAACTTCAAAACCAGTACCCTGTCCTCGATGCCATGGTCAAGGTGGGACTTGTGGTGGGGGGTGATGCTGGGTGGAGGCAAGGTAATTTCACGGCCTTTGGCCCCCGTCCTCCATGAGCTCATTTAAAGTCTAAAGTCTGCCACTCCCTCCCCCCATCTATGTGGGGCAGGAAATGCTGGCTAATGAAACCAGAAAAGAGGTCTTCACACTAAAACCCACGAGCATCTCAAAGCCAGGTAAGGAAAGGATGGGTGACCAGCGAGGAAATCAAGACCATGCAATGTGGGAGAGGAGTGTAAATTGCTCGCTCCATAATTCTCAATTCCACAAACACACTCAATCTGGGGAGCACACTGAGGTAGCTCCCTGTCCCACTCAGTCTCATAGATGCACCAGGGAGACAGGTCTGAGTCCCCATTCTCCACTTACTGCTTGGATAATGCCCGCTTGCTGAAACAGACAGAGGTCCCAAATCTCAAAGCCTTCATACATGCGTACAATGTCTGCCCACCTAACACGCAAACCAGCTGCTCTTGAGTAGCCCCAGGCCTGAACGAGGCCTGTGAAGGACTGTGCTTCTGCCCACATGGCCTCTGCCAGAACTCAGTCCTGGTGACACCAACCTGCAAGGGACGAGGGAAAGTGTGGTCCAGCCAGGTGTCAGTTTCCAAGACCTGAGAGCCCAAGCTACCCATTCTCAGCCTTGATTTTCTCATCTGTAAAACGGGGAGCATAAACAGGACCAGTCTATAGAGCTGTGCTTGGAAATGAATTTTATTTTATTTTTTTTAAATATTTTATTTATTTATTTGACACACAGAGATCACAAGTAGGCAGAGAGGCAGGCAGAGAGAGAGAGGAGGAAGCAGGCTCCCTGCTGAGCAGAGAGCCCGATGTGGGGCTCAATCCCAGGACCCTGAGATCATGACCTGAGCTAAAGGCAGAGGCTTTAACCCACTGAGCCACCCAGGTGCCCCTGGAAATGAATTTTAAATATCTTCCTTCGTCCTTTCTCTTCCTCTCTTCTCCCTTCTTGCCTTCCCCCTCCCCACCTGCACACAGGTGCCAGCAAACTGACCAACAGTCTTTTTCTCCCACCGTAACCCTTCCATGTCTATGTCTGTGGTCCATGGAGCTCCCAACACATGAGATTAATCCACACATGACTGACCCAAGGCAACATGTCGGTCAGGTTCGAGGACAGGACCAGATCCTGGACTCCCTGTCCAGTGCTCCTCCCTTGCTGACCAAGTTCTCCAGTTGGAGGGACTTGAAGCTCTCCTCCTTTCCCAGTCTTCCCTTCACAGCCATCCCAAAGCCGAAGTGCCTCTGCATCCCCCATCAACGTCCCTTCTACCTTTCTTCAGAAGAGCCAGCCAGAGCCTTGCTCCTAGCCAAATCCTCCCCAATCAACTGCTAGAACGCGTATCTGCCTCATTAACTAGTAGCCCACTGACTCCCTTTTGAGGACCCCCAACCCTTTAACTGCTCCAGACCCACGGTGTTCACCCAGGGGTGCAGTCCCACTTTTTCCTGCTGTAGGGAAGGAAGTTGGGGTGGTCCGCCTGCCACTGCTGCAGTTTCTTCTCCCTGCCACACGGTGTCGCTGTGGAGCTTCAGGAGCCTCCTGTCTGCCAGTCCACAGGGAGACCCGGCCTGCTGAGGGTTCTGAACTTACTGAGGGGCAGTGTCCCCGCCCCCCAACCCCTCCCGCGCCACTCTATTCATACCCAGCCCCCGGCCCAGGGCACCAGCCAGCCCAGCAGGACGGGTCAGGACCAGTCCAGCCTCAGTTAGTCACCAAGAATCATCTTCCTACCACCACCTTCCTTCCCCATAGATCCCAGATCCCTGGTCTCCTCTCCGGAAGGAGGGCTCCCCTCAGTGGTGTCCCACAGGACCCCAGGGCTCCCCATCCCAACCCAGGGAGGAGCGCCCTGTGAGGACAGTCTGGTGTTTTGGACCGACCCTTCCTTTTGAGAGAATAAAATAATAATAATAAATTAATGATTTCCCAGGGTGCCCACTACGGGGCCCAGACAGAATGGCTGTCTAAGTGACTCCCAAAACTGCAGGCTTGAATCTGCCCCCAGATATTTTTCTGTGTGTGCCAAGGTCTAGAATGTTCCTTCCAGGATGCATTCCTTTGATTCTTTACAGGGCACTGGTCTTCCAGAGTCCCTTGTTAGAAAACACGCTTCCCAGGCAGGGTCAGGCCTTCTATCTTGGGATTGGAGCCTTAACACAGTGGGGGTCCCTAACCTGATTACGATCCTGGAGCCTTTTGAGAATTGTGTAAAATCTTCGGATGTACAGATGTATATGCACAAAATATTGATTGTACCTTCAGGGGCCCTTGAGGTGTACACTGCCCTGAACCTGGGTAAGGAAGGGCCCCTGTCCTATTAGGAGTGAAGCCCAGGGCAAGGGGGTGGGGTTGAAGGGACTCCAGAGAGAGCCCAACCCTCGTCTCCTCTGCAGTTCTGCCAGGAGCCTGGTCAGCAAAGGGCACTGCTTCGTTAGCCACACCGGGCGCCCGGCCTGGGTCACATGCAGCATCTGTCTGGAGAATCCCACTGGGTCAGTGAGGAGAAGGCCCCAAAATGGGCAGCCCAGCCCAGGCCAGCCTCTAGGGACACATGAATAACTGGTTCTGGGCTCTGGGGAGTTTGCGTTCCCTTAATTCTATTTTCCATCCAAGCAAACTGAAATTGGACCCCCCTGCTTTCCTGTCTGACACGCTAGCTCCCTTGACTGAACTGTAGAAGTCTTGCACCCCGCCCCCTAAATTCCATGTCTCCAAGCCCCACCACCGAGGTCTATTTTGGAAAGGCTGAAAGGAGGAGGGAGTCACATTGTGGGGCTCGCTGGGCCAGGCACCAGGCTGGGCACTTACTGGTGCTATCGTGTTCCCTGCTCAGTCCTGCAGTGTGGGTGACTATTGTCACTGGGCACAGAGAAGTGAGGCATCGAAGCTCACACCCAGGTGACCAAGGGTGGGGGTGCTGAGTTTCCCACTCAGATCTGGCTACTTGGAAACCTGTACTCCAGGTCTCAGAGGCCTTTGGGGGCCAGGCGGACCCGAATCCAGAAGGTCAGAAAGCCAAGGTCTCCTGGTGCTAGAAGCTGCCCCCAGGGGCCAGGGCCAGGTGGGAGGGAGGCACAGGGAAGAGTCACATCCTGGCTGGACTCTGGTGCCCAATTCTGGGCCTTGGTTTTCTTGTCTGGTAAATAAACCAGCCGTGCCTCCCTCCCTGAGTGCTGGGAGGATTAGATCAAAATCTGGAAATGAGCATAGTGGCTGGTTCTAGAAATGCCAGCCATCATTCTTGAGTTCAGTGGAACCCATGTGACCCTGAACCGTGTGAACCAGTGGTCCAGACCCGAGGCCTGTCAGAAAGGAGCATGCAAGGCCAAAGTGGGGTGGCTGAGACCCCTAGAAAGGGTATGAATTCGAGCAGAGGGAGTGTCAGAATTCCTATCTCCAGGGGTGTGACCAGCCCCCTATGTGCCTGCCACACCCGCAGCAGCCAGATGCAGGGGTGGGGGGTGGTCCCAGAGCAGAGGATGCAGCTGGACCCATCAGTCCATGGAGGGCGCCTCCTCCTGGTGCCTTCCTAAGACTTCTTGGCTGGCAGCTCCTCTTCCCCAGTCTTCGGGCTCCTGCTCTAAAAGCTCCTCCCTGGAGAACTTACCTATTCCCTTAGAGAAGAATTTAGTGTGGGCTCCTCATCTCCACTGTGTTGCAATTCCAGCCCTCCAGATAGCGGACAGATGAGCAAGGGCTTTGGGTGGGCACCCGGAGCCCTCGGGAGATCATCAGGGACTAGGCGAGGCGGGGAAGCCAGCCACCACTGTGTGAGGGACTTGGCCTTAGCGGCGTGGGGGAGGAGAAGGGCAGCGAGCTCTGTGGGAGTACCAAAGTGACCCTGTGATTTACAAGACAGAGAAGCTTGGAGGTGTGGTTGGAGGACTGAGAATGCCTTCCTTCCTTTCCAGCCCCTGGAAGGTCTACCTCAGTGCTGGTAGTCAGCTCTGTGGGTGGTTTTCAGGTGCTGGAGAGCAGGGTGTGAAGTGAGATTTGAAATCGAACTTCCTTGGTGTGAGAGCAGCACCCGGAGCCTGAGGACATTTCCCGATGGGCATGACCAGGTCCTTGCCAACCATGTCAGTTTCTCGGGAGAACCCGCCCAGTAAAGGGTGGCACGACCTGGGATGGGGATAAGCAGGAGGAAGAAAGGGGATCAGTACACAGTGTGCAGCTGAGAGTGGGGTCCGAGACCCCAGGTTAAAATCCCACTTCCTCCATTTCCTGTGTTGTGGTCTTAGGCAGATTATTTAACCATGGCATGCCTCAGTTTCCCCAACAGTAAGATGGCTGCACTATTTACATGTCATACTATGTTTTACTATAAAAGTAACTGCCTGGTTCATAGTCTTGTTAGGGTTAAAGGAGTTCCTGCCTGCCACAGGCTTAGAACGGTGTCTGGCGCATAGTATAATCACTGCGTATCATTACAGTAGAGCACAAGATTTTATAATTGAACAAGTACATAATCCTTAGAGAATGAGATCGGTGGTTTTTTTTTTGTTTTTTTTTTTTTGGTTGGGGATGTATAACTAAAGTCGCTTGGGACTGCTGTCCTTGAGCACAACGCTTGGCCCCTTGCGTTTTATGGGACACTGTAATCCCTTTTGAGAGTACTGGTGTCCTACCCACGGGAAGGTTTATATTTATCTCCTGTGAACACCCAAGAGATCAGGGAGCAGCCCCTGTTTTGGGAAAACCCAGAAAAAGCCAGAAGTGGCCCCTCGGCCTGTAGGGTTGGAGGATGGGCAGGGGAAGTCCCCCCTGGAGCACTGAGGGAACTTGATCTGAGATGGAGCCCGGGAAGGGTGGGTGAGGGGAGAGGGGAGGAGTGGACAGGCCCAGGGTAAAGCTGTAGTGCTCCAGGGCCTGAGAGACCCCTGGATGGGGGCTGGGCCTGGGGGCAGCCAGCTGTGCTGGGGAAAGGTAAGGAGAAGCTCTGCAGGGGTGGGGACACAGAGTCCAATGGAGGAGAGCTGTTGGGACCGGAGGGTACTGTGACATATGTCCTGCCCTCTCCCCTGTATGTGGAGCCCTGTGTCTGGCACGGAGGGACATGGGGGTGGGCTAGGCTATGGGACCCCAGGGGGAGGGCAAGTAGTGCTTGAAGGCTAACAGGGTATTTGTTCAGAGCTGGGCTGGTTTGTAAATCGAGGCCTCGGTGGTCCACAAGTCTGTCTCTCTCTCACCTGTGCACACACATCCGCACCTTTGCACTTTCTAGGGCTATCTCCCTACTTTCCTCTTCCACCACTCTTATTTTTTTTTTAAGATTTTTATTTATTTATTTGAGAGAAAGCAAAAGAGAGATCACAAAGGGGAAGGGAGAAACAGACTCTCTGCTGGATGGGGAGCCTGATGCAGAGCTTGATCCCAGGACCCTGAGATCATGACCTAAGCTGAAGGCAGAGGCTTAACCGACCAAGCCACCCAGGCATCCCTTTCCTGCCTCTTCTTACTGACCCTTACAGAGTCTTCAAGGATCAGCTGAGCTGATTGGGAGTGGACTGTGTGGTTCAGAGAAAGGCAGCCAGGGCTGAGCTATGGGGAAATGCCAGGCCGCCCCTAAGGCGTGGCTGAGGGTACCTGGGACCCCAGGCCGTCTGTCCCGTGTCCCCAGTGCTCACCTGCAGGATGCTTGGCTCCCACAGGTTCCATGTTTCGAAATTGCACACAGGACGGCTGGTCGGAAATCTTCCCCAGGCCTGACCTGGCCTGTGGGGTTAATGTGAACGACTCCTCCAACGAGAAGCGGGTAAGCCTGTCTGCAACTAAGAAGATAGAATGGAGCCAGCCCTGGGTCAAGATCAGGGGACCGGGAGCTGCTCTTGTTACCCACCCCACCCCGCTCATCATCCGGGGCTCCCTCGGCCTACCTCAGTGCCGTGGTGAGACAGCCCAGAGATGGTTAATGAAGACCTGGGCACAGGCACAGTAAGAACTGCCCTGTGCCGCCACGAGACTGGGGGTGATTTAGTCATGAAACCCATAGAAAAGCAACCCGCTGATTAAACGCCTGGAGTCAGGCTGCTGAGTCTGAACCCTGACTGTGACCTTGGCGGGGGTTGGGAGGACTTAACTTCTCTGTGCCTCAGTTTTTCCATCAGTGAAATGGGCTGATCGTGGTTCTGACCTCACAGACTTGCCAAGGGAACCAAACGAGGTAATCCAGGAAAGTGCTGAGAAGGGTACCCGGCCAGAAGAAGTGCTCAATAAATGTTGGCTCTCAGGGCTCCTCAGGCTCTGAGGGGAAGGATCAAGCTGCATGCTGCTGGGCAGGCCTGGTTAGAGAGAAGCCACTGAGCAGTGCGCTGAGCTTCTCCAGGTGCCCCCATTAGTATCAGAGCCTTGCATCCTGACTTTCCCTGCCTGATTCGTAAGTGTCCTTCAAGACTCCGCTCTAGCCCACTGACTCCAGAAAGCCCTTTCTTCCCACCTCCCCACTCCCAAGAAGGGCTCTCTCGATATGCTGTGTTGGTTTCCAAAATGTTACCTGCTACGTTGAACGAAATTGTCGTCATGTGCCATGGGCATCCATCTCGCTCACTAAAATGTGAGCTCTTCAAAGCCATGAACTCACTTAACAAACATGCATTAAGCGCCGACTGTGGGCCAGGCATGGGTCTAGATTTAGAGATATCACAGGAACAGATCAGAATCTTCCTCATTTCCAGGTCCCCAGGCCCCAGCACAATGCCTGGCACTTAACCAGTTGCCCAACGAATGTCTGTTGTTGTCTGAACACCTGCCATGTGCCAGTTCCTGGATACATGATGACACTAAATCCTCAGACGGATTCATCGTAAGATCGTTTTCTCCATTTTGCAGATGAGGAGACTGAGACTCAGAGCCATTAAAGAACATGCTCAGAGACTAGCAGAGGCAGGAGTCAAACCTAGTTAGTACCCAAAAGAACCTGAGTCCTTCCTCTAGCTCTTGCTGCCCTCCCCCTGGTATGGTGCGTGTCCCCTGGGAGATGGGCTTTTGCAGCCCCATGGGCTAAACTCCCCAGTGGGAATCCTGACAGCCTTGCTGGTTCCTTGGAGGTTGGGGTGAGAGCATGTGAGAGAAGCATGAGGCGGAGCAGTAGAGGGAAGGGAGGGAGGAAGGATGAGGTTGGGAGACACACCATACCCACTTCTGAGTTCTTTTCTAGGACTTTCTCCGGCCAGTCAGTCCTGCTCTGTACAAGCAAGACTGGGTGAGGGACCAAGGTGGAGACTTGGGTTTCTTCCCTCCTGGGGTTTGTCATCCAATTGGGGGACACATGTGAGGTCTTCAGGTCTGGTCAGAGCAGGGTACTTTCATAACGAGACCCAGCAAGGATTACTCAATGGGGACAGAAGGTTTCAGAGGAGTGGATGGGCTCTGACCCCTGCAGATGACCATTTCCATCACTGACTTACACAAGGACAGGAAGTTTATGTGATCACATTGGCAAAATCCATAAAATTAAGAGAGAATGTTCTAATGATGGATGGCAGCATAGAGGTTCAAAAGGATGCTCTGGGCTGCAAGAAACAGAAATTTGCAACTTGGGTAATAAACAGATATGGCTCATGTAACTGGGGGTGCAGAGAACAGGCTTCAGAACTCTTTCATAAGGCAGCACTCGGAAGCTGCCAAAGGACCGGGTTCTTGCCATTTCTCCTCCTGCTATCCTGGTGGCTTCCTCTCAAGGCTGCCACCTCTCGATGTGGGTGCCATTGGCAATGACAGCCACATATTCCCCCATGCCTGCTTGTCCAGGTGGAGGGAAAGCCTGACTTCCTTTGGCTCCTTCCCAAGAGCAAGAAAGCTTCTTCACCCAAACCCCAGCAAGCTTGTCCTCCCATCTCACTGGCCCAAAGTGACTTGAGCCTGCCCACCCCTGGACCATCCCTGGCAGAGGGATGGGACACAGGATTGGCCTCGGCCAGTGGTTCTCAAACCTTTTGGCCATTGGACCCTTTTACATTCTTAAGAATTATTGAGGACCCCAGGGAGACTTTGTTTTTGTGAGCAGTGTTTACTGAAACCACATCGGAGACACTGTCAGCTTTAGACTCATCAGCTGGGGAACAAAACCCAAGGCCTTAACCATGATATTCATCCAGGGCAGAAACTGTAAAATCCCAAAACAAGGACCTGAATTTAACAAATGTAAATGCAAAGTTTGGACTTAATTCAGAATAATTATTGGCCAAAAATAGTGGAAAGGAGAACTACCTTGGCTTCAGCTCACATAAAAAATTTTAAAAATGTAAAAAAAAAAAAAAATCCCTAAGATCAGAAAGGTTTTCAAGCCATGTAATTTACTGGTGCCTAGATGCTGGTTCACAAGCTTTGCTCTCAGAGATCTGAGTCATCCTGTCTCTTACTCTTGAAATGTCTTTTCTCTTCTGATCAAACGATGATGGAAATGAGCACTTGTTGGCTGTCTTTTCTTCAATTTCCTTATTGGCACGCGCTGCTCTATTCACCAACAAAAGCCCACAACAGTGCACACAGATTGGCAGAAAGGACCAGGCTGCTGCTTGGGTAAATAAAATGGGGCTTGCTTACCTAGAGTGGAGGTTGGCATCCTGTGGCCCTTGAGCCAAATCCAGCCCACCACCTGCTTTTGTAAATAAAATTTTATTGAGACATGGCTATAGCCATTTACACCACAAGAGCGGAGCTGAATATTTGCAAAAGCCCAAATGGCACCCAAAGTCTAAGATGCATATTATTTGGCCCTTTACAAAAAATGTCTGCTGAGCCCTGATCTAGAGGATGTAGAGGGAAGGTGGCCCGGTCAGGAAAGACAGCAGAGAGAAGGGCAATGTGATCCAGGACAGACAGCAGTGAGGCTCCTGGCCCCCAAGCCCTCCTAGGGTGAGTCCCTGTTGCAGATGTGGAGGGCAGGTGCACTAAGGGCACATCAGGCCTCCTGGGACCAGGGCTCCTTCTGGATCAGAACTTACACATATAATGCAGGGATAAGTGCGGCTGGCTGGTGTCCTGAGGGTTCCCTGGCAGGCAGTCAACCCAGCCACAGGACAATGTGGAGCATTCAGCCATAACACCCCATACTGTCACCCCGTGCCTCCTCGTGCTGTCACAGACTGGTCCAAATCTGCTTCTGAACTGAGAGTGGCAAAACCAGGGGGTCCTATGAGTGAGGCTTGTGCCCTCGGGGCTGGGGCTCTTCCTGCTCGTGCAAGATTATAAGCTGATGCATCATGGAACCTCTTATTTCTCAACATTTGACTGCCCTTTCATGTCCCAAAGTCAAGCCACCATGAATCTAGGGCAACCTACTGTCCTTTTGGCTCTCTTCTTCATTCCTGAGAGGTGGATCCTGGCTTCTGGGATCACCATCATACCAGTGGGGAAGCTCAGTGTCACATGGCAGTCATCCCATCAAAGGTTGCCTCTTGCTCTCAGAAAATCTTTGGTCACTCTGAGTCAGACTTCTTTTTGGTAGCTCCCTCCCCTTGGAGCCCATACAATGGGTCTTAGGCCTCTACCTGTCAATTGTTCTAATACTTTTCTTGCCTAAGTTTGTTCGCTTATTTCCTCGGGGTGTAATGTACCCAGTTTTTCATGCACTCTTCCCTCCTCCAGAAATGTTCCAGTTTATTCCTGTGCCTCTTAAAATAGCACACCCAGAACTGGACGAAACACTCCAAACGTCCCCATGTTGCCTGCTGTCCTACAGCACTCCATTATCATAACTGAGAATAGGTCTAATTTTTTTTTTTAAGCTGCTCCTTTATAACTCATACTTCTTACTGCGATCTTGGATCCGTGACTCATGTTGAAGGGTGGGTGATGGGGCTGGGGGATGGAGGTGGGAAAAAATCAACATCTTCTGAGTGTCTTGTAAGTGCCAGCCATTGTCTAGATACTCTACCTCATACTTTATTTGTTCTTCCAACAAGCCTGCAAGGTAGATATTACCCCCATTTTGCAGATGAGGAATCTGAGGCTCAGAGAAGTTAAGTAATTTGCCCAAGGTCACACAGCTGGTGAGTAACAGTCCTGGGTTTGGAAACCCTGTCTCTCGGCTCTGAAGCCTGCATTCTTTCCCTGCAGTAAACTTCTTAATACCATGGAGCTTGGGCCATTTGAACCTCAAGTCATTCTCATAGGAACAGCTGTCAGCAAGGTTTCCCCAATACTATTCTTGTGCCCCCCCTTTTTTTAATTAATTACCTTTTTCTTCTGGTTATAAAATAGTACTTATCCACTGGAAAGAAATGAAAAGTATAGAAGAAGTACAAATAAAAATAACAACTCTCTCCACAGACTTATCATCCAAAGTTAACCATTATTAACATCTAACACATCTTTTTAAAATCTTGTGGTCTATGCGTGTATGTGATTGAACCACACAAAATAGCTGATATTCAATCATCTGACCTACAAAAAAAGGCAATTTCACGTAATTCAACTTAGTATTTTTTTTAAACAGATAGCAGGAATCACACTGTACCTAGAAAATTTGTATTCTTCCTTTTCGCTTAACATTACATTCTTAGCACAAGCTAACATCTGTTAAAACTCTTGGTAAACACCATTTTAATGGTGGCATACATCAAAATAATGATTTAAGATAATTCAGTTAATTGTTCTATTGTTGGACATTTAAGTGTTTTTCATCACACATCGTTCTGTGATGAACATCTTGATGTATAAATATGCTTTTCCTCTTGTGCTTATTTCTTTGTGTGTGTGTGTGCGCATGCTAACGTCTTAGAATTCCCAGAGGTAGAAAGGAGGTCAACAGGAATGCATGTTTCAAAGATTCTTGATAATGCTACTTTTCATTTTTAAAGATTTTTTTAAATTTATTTGTTTGACAGAAGGAGAGATGGTAAGTAGGCAGAGAGGCAGGGAGAGAGAGAGGGGGAAGCAGGCTCCCTGCTGAGCAGAGAACCCCATGCAGGGCTCAATCCCAGGACCCTGAGATCATGACCTAAGCCCAAGGCAGAGGCTTAACCCACTGAGCAACCCAGGTGCCCCTGATACATGCTACTTTCAGGAGAGACTGAAACCATGTTTGCTCCCGCTCTACCCTCAGCTGCATAGAATACTGCCTTTAAATATTTGTTCATTTGGTTGGAAACAGATGGTATAGCATTATTGGTTTAATTTTCATTTCTTTGATTCTTCTTCAGGCTGTCGTGCAATTTATTTTTTGCACCCAGGTTTTACATTGCAGGTTTTACATTTCTCTTTATATGTGGTCCTCTCCCATACCATTGAGATTCTTTCCAAATCAAAGATGAGTCAGTAATGTGAAAACTCATTAATATGAGTTCAGTGTAGAGGAGAGGGAAGGCGATGGTCCCACTCTACTCCTTCCTGATCAGAGAATATACTGGAGCTTTCCAGCTTTCAGTTCTGGGGGTCTTATTTAGGAAGGCCATTGCCAACAGAGCATGTTAATTGAGCAGGAGGGTGAGGGATCGTGGAAAGAGATTGAAGACACAGAAAGAAAGTGTAATGCTGAGACTATATATGAGAGACAGGTGGGCAGAAAAGCTGTATTTTTTTTTAAGATTTTATTTATTTATTAGTTAGAGAGAGAGAGAGCATGAGCACAGGCAGACAGAGTGGTAGGCAGAGGCAGAGGGAGAAGCAGGCTCCCCGCTGAGCAAGGAGCCCGATGTGGGACTCGATCCCAGGACGCTGGGATCATGACCTGAGCCGAAGGCAGCCGCTTAACCAACTGAGCCACCCAGGCGTCCCCAGAAAAGCTGTATTAAGAAGAGACAGATCTGGGGTGCCTGGGTGGCTCAGTGGGTTAAGCCTCTACCTTTGGCTCAAGTCATGATCTCAGGATCCTGGGATGGAGCCCCACATCGGGCTCTCTGCTCAGCAGGGTGCCTGCTTCCCCCTCCCCCCCGCCAGCCGCCTACTTGTGATCTCTCTCTGTCAAATAAATAAATAAAATCCTTAAAAATATATATCTTTAAAAAAAGGACAGATCTCTCTGTGTGATATTTGCAACCCTTCGAGAACTCTGAAACCATTCCAAAATGAAAGTTTATTAAAAAAAACCCAAAAACCCTCTAAGCATTCAATTTATTTCAAGCGGCTCCAGACGTGGGTATTGAAAAAGAACCAATTTAAAAGTCATAGATTTTAGATCCTTTTGTAGTTCATAAGCATGATGATTGGGTGTTCACGCTCCTGTGTGACATGTACCACCCTCAAACCTTGTTATGACCTTGGCACATTACCCATCTGATATGAAAAAAAAAAAGTCATAGATTTTAGCTTCACATGAGAAAAATTATTTGATAGTTTGCACCCTTGTATACCAGATGACTTCTTCAAAAGGCAGTTAGCCTACATCCCTGGAGGGATTCAAGTGAAGGCTTGGATTCAGGGTGATGGTAAGGGGCGCTATGCACGGGGTAGAAGTTTGAGTTGGCATCAGATGATCCCCGAGATCTTCTCCAAAGCCAGGGTGTTCCTAGTCTATGAATTGAGGTCCAAAGAGTCTGATCAGCATAGCCAGCGGCATTGAAAGGTTCATTGAAAAGTTGCAGCTGCCTAAGCAGGCGCAAGAAGCCCAGCCGCTGGGTGGGCGGGGCTAACACACCCCTCTCTCGCAGCACCAGTATCTAATGAAGTTGAAGGTCATGTACACCGTGGGCTACAGCTCCTCCCTGGTGATGCTCCTCGTCGCCCTCAGCATCCTCTGTGCTTTCCGGTGAGAACACATTGCCAGCTCTCTGTCTCCCCAGCCTTCCCCAGGCACAGAATTTGGGTCTCTTTAAATTGCTCAGGCCAGAGAAAGGAAGGTGGGGGGGGGCACTTAGTGACCTCTTGATCTAGACCTTACTCAAGACAAAACACCGATGTTCCTGTGACTTTGTTCGTGTTTTTATTCATTCACAGTTACTGAGCATAACGAGGAATTCACTGCAAATGTCCTAGTTGTCATTTTCACACAATGCTATAAGATAGGTATCATTATCCCCACTTGCAAATCCTGGTTGCAAGAAACAAATCCCCTTAAAACAGTTTAAGAAAACCAACGTATCCTGACCCACATAACTGACAAGGTCAGGGGTGTCTGTCTCTAGGAATGGCTGGATCTAGGTGCTCAAACGTATCGGCAGAACTAAGTCTGTCTCCCTCCCTCTCTCCACTCTCCATCGGCCTCATCCTTAGGCAGGCTCTCCTCAGGGGTGGCAGAGACATCCACCAGCAGCTATAGGGGTACACTCCACCGGCTCAGCCACCAGGACAAAGAGAGCCTCTTCCCCTTTAGTTGCAGTTAAAGTCCTGGGGCAGGGGTGGGGAGGTTTCTATACGCCCGGCTTGAGTCACAGTCCCAACCTGAATGTCACTGCAGCCAGGGGTGGAGTACTCCGATTGGTTGGGTCTATCAACAGGGTGGGAGGATGGAGTCACCCCAGTCCCAGAGCTGGAATAGGTTCCCCGTAAGAAAGCCTGCTTCTGGCACCAGCAGCTGGGGAATGGGTAACAGACCTCTGATCCCTCCCACAGAGGAGGAGACTCGGGTTCTGGGAAGGTGTAAAGGCTTGCTCGAGGTCAAGGTTACCTGGCTAAGAAGTGGCCAAGCGCCTGTGGCTCTGGGCCCCATGGCCTTGCATTCTCTCCCTCCAGGAGGCTCCACTGCACCCGCAACTACATCCACATGCACCTTTTTGTGTCCTTCATCCTGCGTGCCCTGTCCAACTTCATCAAGGACGCGGTGCTCTTCTCCTCGGAAGATGTCGCTCAGTGTGATGCCCATAGGGTAACATGCCTGCGTGTGAGAGTGTGGCCAGGCTGCACACCTTCCCCAGCCCAACTCGGGAGAGGGTGGTGGTCCCGTTGCTCTTTCTCCAAGTCCCACCCGAGGCTTCACTAAATGCCTAGAGTACAGGGACCAGTGCTGGGGCTGGGCCAGAGCATCCAGGGAGAGTCCCATGTCTCCACGTGCACAGTCGGGGTCATGTATGAGAACAGCTTGTCGGGAAGCCCCTGGGGGCTGCCCTTCAACTCCCAGCCACTCTGGCAATTAAATACATATGGAGGGCCATCTTTTCCCTCCACCTGCCAAGTCCCAGCTATGGGCAGATGGCCAGCTCTGAAGAGGGTTGAGGGTGTGGGGCAGAAAGAAAAGTGGGAGCATATATGTCTGTGTCTGCAAACATAAGTCTGTAGTAAAGCAATCGTTTAATTTAATCTAACCCCTTTCCTCCTTCTGAATGCTCAGATGACTCTTAGTTCTTTGCAATATTGCTCTGTGTATCAGCTGCGGATCCGTTTTGCTGCATATACCAGAAAACCATACATCAGTGGCTCAGATGGAGTTTGTCTCCCACATAAGCAGTCCACAGATGAGCAATCCAGAGGTGGCACAGTGGCTCCGTGATGCCATGGTGGACACAATCCTTTTCCCTCTTTCTGCTCTGCTGTGCTTGATGCCATACTTTATACCGCTTTTTACAATATGGCTGCTGCAGCCCCAGGCTTCACATCCCTGTTCCAGTCAAGAAAGAGAGTCAGGGTTAAACAGTTTTTATCTTTGGGTAGCTTTGCCTTTTTAGGGTGGGAAAGAATACCTGCCCCCAAGACACCTATCTACATCTCATTGCCTAGAACCTTGTCATGGGACCACACCTTACTCTAAAGGAAGCTGGAGGATCGAGTTTTTTTGGCATCATAGTCACCATAGCAGAGGCAAACAAGGGAGAAAAAGATGGCAGACTGAGATGGGTTTGGTCAACCTGCCTGTCACTTCCCACCACTCCCATCTGTAATCCCTTACAGATCTGTTGTTTGTGTTGTTTATAGGTGTGTGTGTGTGTGTGTGTGTGTGTGTGTGTGTGTGTTTTCGGACTCAAACTGAATCTCCCTTAGGGAGATTGGCAGGACAAAGTATGAGTAGTAGAGTGAGAGTCAGAAGATGTAAATTCAGGGCCCACACCTCACTGACCAGTACTGGAGAAGTCCAGCAGTCCCCCACGGGGAACCTTCTTGGGTTCCGGTAAACATCAGACTCCTGAGTCAACCATAGGCTCCGCCCAGAATCTGAGTCTGTGGGTGGCCGTAGAGCAGAAACCGCAGCCCACCAGCAGGGCAGCACTGGGTTACCTGCAATGTGACCTCCACGCAGCCCATGTAGCAGCCGTCAGTCCATCCCAGAAGCTGTCCTCTCCCCAGGGACAGCTCAGAGAAAGGAAAGGGGACCTTGTCATGTAGGAATGATTGCTGGCACAGAAGCTTCATGCCCCACGAGTCCCCAGGCACAGCTTCTGGTGATCCCTGCTAGAGACATGCCTCTAACAAGTCACTGAGTCAGGCAAGGCCAGCACTGGCATCTCCATCCGGTAGTCAGAAGTCTCCAGAACAGAGGCGGTGTACCAATCAGGGACCATTTTCACTATAATCAATGGTGCCCTCCTAACATAATTGGTATGTCCCTTCATCTGTTTCCAGGGAAATAGCTTGGAAGGGATCTTGTTAATCCTTTGCTCGGAAATCCCTTTCCTTCTGTCCTCCCGTGTGCTCATCTGCAAAGGAGGAACTTGGGAACTGGGCCCTATCTGACACAGCTTCACTGGTGGCAGCCAAGTCCCGGGTTTGAATGCACTTCTTGCTTCTCTGATGGCCCGTTAGCCTTCTTGCCTGAGCCTGCTGCCATGTGGGCTTCCACTTTCTAGAGAACTCTGTGGGCCTGGGCTTCTGAGAGTGGAAGGTCACAGGGGATGGCCAGGAGCCCATAGAGACTTGCTCTGCGACCTGACCCCTACCCCTACCTGTAGCTTCGTTCGGGAGGCAGGGGCGGCTGGCAGAGAGGAGCTCACTGTTGCCCAGCCTGGGGCTCACCTGCCTCTCTCTGTCCAGGTGGGCTGCAAGCTGGTCATGGCTTTCTTCCAGTACTGCATCATGGCCAACTACGCCTGGCTGCTGGTGGAAGGCCTCTACCTTCACACGCTCCTCGTCATCTCCTTCTTCTCGGAAAGGAAGTGCCTCCAGGGATTTGTTGCCCTCGGATGGGGTACGTTTCTCCGTGGGTGTAATGGCTGGAGAATGTGGGGAAAGGCACTGAGCCAGAGGACTTGGTTTCTAGTTGCAGCCCCACGCTCAGTTAAGTTAGCTAACCATGGAATCTTAGGCAAGTTGCTTCTTGTTTAACCCCCTGGCTTTGGTTTATTTGTACATCAAGTAAGAATTCACAGTTAAAATGTAGCCCCAATTTTGGCCATCCAAAGTCTCTTACCATTTGACACCACCCAACTTACCATTTGATACTACATTTGTTGTTTCATCTTCCTTAGACATTCCATTCATATATTTTCATTCTTGCTTCCTTTCTCTATTAATTAGGGTACTTTTGACTGTAGCTGTCAGAAAATCTGGCTTAGATCAGCTTTAAACAAAAAAGAAAGCAATTGGGTCATATATCTGAAAAGTCCAGGGACTGCCAAATTCAGGTGAGGTTGGATCCAGCAGCTCAACAGTGTTTTCTTTGTGCCTTTCCACTTTACCTTCTGGAACATCAGCTCTATCGTTATGCTGGTGTTCCCAGTGTAATTGCCAGCAGCTTCTGGGGTACCAGCTTCCTTGGTATTTCTAATGAGAGAAAAAGGCCATGTCCCAGCATTCCCAGCAAATACTCTGAGGTTCACTCTTGATAGGACCAGCTTGTCTCAGACACATCCCTGAACCAATCCGAGACACTGATTGGCTTAAGGTGCTCAAACCACATGGCCTCCCAAAGGAATTTCAGGGTTCATTTGTAGGAAGGAGGGGAAAAGTAGCCAACTGCAGGCCCCATTCCATCTTCCCCCTGTCCCTTCTGATCAATGAAGATGATAACTCCACTTTTTGAGCACTTACTATGAGCAGAGCATTTACATGCATTTTTAATTGCCACCACAATTTCCAGAGGCCTTTCAAAAAAAACATGCTCAAAGATGGGATGTAATATGTTCACACTATAGACAAGGGCAGACCCAGGATTCAAACCAAGGCTTGTCTGTTTCCAAAGGTCCCTTAACTCTTATTCTGCCATTAACAAACATCCATCCATCCATCTATCCATCCATGTACCTGTCCGTCCATCCATCCATCCATCCATCCATCCATGTATCCATCTATCCATCCATCTGTGTACCCATATGTCTGTCCATCCATCCATCCATTGTTCATTTGATAAACATATATAAGTTACCCACTAGGTTCTAAAAAAATAGCCACATTCCTCTGACTGACTCATACGCTTACATGGATAGATATGTGTACTAGCCATTAATTTCATTTGCTTTCTTCTTAGTGCCTTTAATTAAGAAGTGCCCCTGCCAGGAAAGCCCTGTCTGTTCTCCTTGTCTAAATCCTTCCATGCAAGGGCCCTATCGACTCACATCAGGGAAGTCGCCAGAGCTGCCAGAGCACACAGAGCCCTCCTATAGACTTTGGCAGCCTAATTAGCACATGACCCTTGGCCAGCAGGAGCTGTGGGGCTCTTCGGAGGACAGTAGTTCCAAGAGTACTGGGGGACCAGGGACTTGCTTTATGCAGTTGACTCCCAAATAAATACCCACTTTGGAACCTGTCCATTGACCTTGACTCTCAGATCTGCCAGGATCTCATTGTATAAACATAGGCAGTTTCTTTATCTGTAATATCAGGATCACAATTTATTCTACTTTCTTCAAGTGTTTCTTTGCGCTCGGAGGGGCTTCTAGAGATTACAGAAACAAAAATAGTTCCATCATTCAAAGATGTCATAGTCTAGTGGGGAGACAAAATTGCATTGTGACATCTCCATCACAGATTTTTAGGAGAGCTTATCTTGTTTTATTATTTTATATTTTTTTATTTTAAAAAGATTTTATTTATTCATTTGAGAGAAGAGAGAGCACAAGCTGGTGGGGAGGAGCAGAGGGAGAAGCAGGCTCTCCACTGAGCAGGGAGCCCACACTAGGCCAATCCCAGGACCCTGAGATCATGACCTGAGCCAAAGGCAGATGCTTAACTGACTGAGCCACCCAGGCACCCCTCAGATTGTTAGGAAGGGTTTAAGTGAGATCATGAGAGCCTTCCTTTCTTCCTCAAATGTTTATTGAGCATCTACTATATGCCAGGCCCTGGGGACAGAATAGCACATGAAACAGTGGTTCCTCCCCTCCTGGCCTCTCCGCCTATACAGCCCCAAGGAGACCTTGAAGGGACTCAGGAAGGCCCAGAGTTTTCTGTCTGGGAGAAGCCTTTCTCTTACAAAAGCAGGGGCCCCTCCTCAGTTTGTACGCAACTTGTTTCCCCAGAGACAGGTTGCTTAAATGAGTACACGCTCACTGTAAGACTGAAAAAAAAAAAAAAAAAATTAAGTAGAAAAAAAGTACCCTGGTCTCATCTAACAAACATTTTTGGGGGTTTCCTTCCAAACTATTTTTCCTACTCAGTTTTTCTCCACAGTGTTGTGGTCATTCTTTTTTTTTTTTTTTTTTTTTTTTTTAAGATTGTATTTATTTATTTGTCAGAGAGCACATGTACAAGCAGGGGGAGCTACAGGCTCTCTGCTGAGCAGCAGCCCAAGGCGGGACTTGACCCCGGGACCTGGGATCATGACCCCAGCGGAAGGCAGACACTTAACTGACTGAGCCACCCAGGCACCCCTGCTGTGGTCATTCTATATGTAGAATTCTGAATCCTGTTTCTTTCCATTAACACACAAGTGTGCTCTGTATTCTTCCACCTCTGCCATAAACATTTTTTAACTAGTCTGTGGATGTATTTAACCAAATACCTATTATATGGACATTTAGGTTGTTTTTAATTTTCCACTACTATAAATAACACAGTGATAAATGCTTTTATGAACAAAGCTTATTCCCATATGGAATATGGAATCCTAGAATTGGGATCACTGAATCAGAAAGAGTGGACACTTTGAAGGTCTTTATATTTATTTGTTTGTTTATATTTAGGTATTTTTTGGTTTTTTGTTTTGTTTGTTTGTTTTTTAGATTTTATGTGTTTATTTGACAGAGAGAGACACAGTGAAAGAGGGAACACAAGCAGAGGGAATGGGAAAGGGAGAACCAGGCTTCCCGCCGAGCAGGGAGCCCGATGAGGGACTTGATCCCAGAACCCTGGGATCATGACCCGAACGGAAGGCAGACACTTAACAACTGAGCCACCCAGGTGCCCCAACTTTGAAGGTTTTTTACTTTTACAAGGATGTTGGGGTGTCAGTGTGCACCCTGAAAAGGGTGACACCTCTGGCTCTTCTGGGGATGAACCAAGGTCCCACTCACTGAGTTGGTGGCTCTCCAACTGGAGCCAGCGTCAGAGTCACATGGCGGGTGTGTCGAGCCCAGCTGGGTGGAACCCACTCCCTGTGCCTCTGAGCCAGTTGGCCTTGGGTGTAGCCAAAGACTCTTCATGTCTGACAAGCCCCCAAGTGACGCTGATACTGATAGTCTGGGGACCACACTAAGAAACCCCAACTCCAGCCATTATTGGTTTTTCCACTTTCCACCAAGTCTGTTAAAGATGCAAGACCATAGGCGGCCCTTAAGAGCCCATGTTCTTTGCCCAAAGCACCCAAAATTGAGGCAGGGATTTAAAAAAAAAGAAAAGATATATAATTTAAAGTCATGCACATACTTGGTTTAAATAATTAAATAGGAGGGGCACCTGGGTGGCTCAGTCGGTTAAGCAGCTGTCTTTGGCCCAGGTCATGATGTCAGGGTCCGGGGATCGAGTCCTGCATGTGCCCTCTGCTCTGAAGGGAGCCTGCTCCTCCCTCTACCTCTGCCTGCCACTCCCGCTGCTTGTGCTCGCCCTCTCTCTCTCTCTCTGTCAAATGAATAAATAAAATCTTGAAAAAAAAAACTTATTGCTGAGCCACATGGTGTACAACGATTTTACTTTCAATAGTTAATCTTTTGTTTTTTATGGAGTCGCTTTTAATTGACTTATTTGTTTTATGTTGCTGTCCTTAATTCTCCCCAGCTCTCCCATGGAACTGAAAAACCCTCCAGTGCTGTTTCCCAAATCAGCCCACGCCAACAGGAAATCTGTTCGTTCCTATCTGTTTGGTTTCTTCCCGCTCTGTTTCCTATGGGCTGCCGTAGACAAGTTGCCACAAACTCCGAGGCTTAAAACAATAGAAATTTTGTTTCTCTCACTGTTCTGGTGGCCAGAAGTTCAAAATCAAGGTTCTGGCAGGGTTGATTCCTTCTGAAATGCTCCACGCCTCTGTCTCTTCCAGCTTCTGGCCGTTGCTGGCAGTCCTTGGCGGGTTTTGGCGTGTGCTCGCATCCTTGTGATTTCTCCCTCCACCTTGACACGGCCTCCTTCCCTCTCTGTGTGTCCTTTCGTGCTGTGTCTCTCACAGCCTTCTCATGAGGGCGCCAGTCATATTGTATAAAGGCCCGCACATGACCGGCTTTCTTGTAAGTATAACCTCTTCTTAACTAATTACACCTGCTAAGACCTTATTTCCAGAGAAGGTCGCACTCTAAGGTTCTGAGTAGATACGAATTTAGGGAGGATGCTTTGCAATCCAGAAGAGCCACCAATGGTCTTTCTAGAGCCTTCTGACTTCTTGCAATGTTTAGGTTGGTTGTTCTCTACGCTTGCTAAATTTCCTTATCCTTCATGCTGAAAATTTCCTTCATTTCCCTCTATAAATCTGTTCTTTTATTTCTTTTTTAAAAGATTTTATTTATTTACTTGAGAGGGAGCACAAACAGGGGGAGGGGCAGAGGGAAAAGCAGGCTTCCCTCTGAGCAGGGAGCCCGACGTGGGACTCAATCCCAAGACTCCAGGATCAGGACAAGAGCAGACGCTTAACCAGCCGCGCCACCCAAGTGTCCCTGCAGTGTTACTCTTCTTCCCTGAGCATTTTGACTCATCTCCTTCTACATAAGCTGCAGCATCTTCTCTCTGGCCCCTGAATTTTGAAATGCCCAAGGGAGGTGCCCCCATGCAAGCTGATTTCATCCTTTTTACCGACATCCAGCAGTCCTTTCATCTGGAAACTCACATCCTTCATTTCTTGGACCTTGTTCTTGTATCACCTGTTTGATTTCTTTCCCTTTGGTTTTTATCTTCTCTTTCTGAAACTTTTAATCAGATGGAGCGCATCCTGGAATTGACCTCTGATTTTTTTCGTTGTCTTTTCTCCTCTTTTTCATCCCACTCTTTGTGTCCTTCTTTCCGGGCGATGCCTGGTCTTTATCTTCCAACCTTCTGTGGAATCTTTTATCTTGGTTATCATATATTCCATTTCTAAGCTCTCTTCCTTGCTCTCAGACTGCTCCCTATTTTCGGCATCCTGTTTGGGTCTTGCAGATGTAATCTTTCCTCTTATCTCTCAGACGATATTCCTTAGAGTTGTTTTGTCCGAGTTCCTCCTGCAGCCTGCATGGTCTGTTTCCTTTGAGTTCCTTCTCTCTGATTGTTTTGGTCCTTGTCTTTGATGTAATCAGCTTTCCTCAGATGTCCGTGACCTTGACTGTCTGTTCATGTTTAAGAATGAGTCACTTCAGAGCGGACCGAAGTCCCCATGTATGGGGGTAGAGGGGGTGTGTATGCGCACGGCATGTCTCTCAAGGGAGACTGGGCTGGAAGTGGCCACTGTGTTGGGGGGTCCCCAGCATTGCCATCTATAGGCCCTTTGTCTGGGGCTGTTGGATTCTGCCAGAGAAAAATCCTTTAATCTTCTGCGTGGTTGTAAACCCGGCTGCTGGAGGTCTGAAACCTGAGCAACCTTGGGACGGGGTTACCATTTAGGTGCGGATGATCATGTCCTCTAGAAACAGAATGAGCCACATACATATCCTAAAATCTTCTAGTAGCTACAGTAAACACAATAAAAAGAAGCAGGTAAAATTAATCCCAATAATCTATTTTATTTAACCTGGTATAAAAATATTGTCACCATATAGTTAAATATAAAAATTAGCAGATTTCACACTCTCTGATTCCTACTAAGTTTTCAAGAATTGGGTGTCTTGCATGTACAGCACATCTCCAGTGGGACCAGCCACAAATATCAAGTACTCCATAACCAGCTACGTGGGGTGAGTGGCCACTGCCCAGGACAGCACAGGGGTAGACCATCATTTCTCCCTTCTTTTCCCTGCAGAGTTTCTCCCCCCAGTCTGCCCCAGGCTCCCAGGACAACCTGAGACCCTCGTGGCATTCAAGAACCATTTGATTCTGCCTCAGTTCCCGGGGCAGTCTGGGTACCCTAGAAGCAGGAGGCTACCCGTTTGCACAAGATTTACAAGGGGGTTTCCATGGTACCTGCTCACTTCTAGGCTAGGCAAACTGCCCCCGTTCCCATGTGGGGGGCTATTGAAAATTGAGTCCCCACTCCCCTCTCCCTCCCTTTATTTTTACTCTACAGGTTCCCCGGCCATTTTTGTTGTTTCGTGGGCTATCAGCAGACACTTTCTGGAAGATGTCGGGTAAGCCGTTTGAAGGAGAGGTAACAGGAGTGTGTTTTATAATGTCCAGTTCTTCAAGCAGGATGGAGCAATCTAGGAGAGGCCTGTTTCTCAAACTGTGGGGGACATAGGCGAGTACTCTGGAATACTGGGCTGGTGTGAGGTTGCAGAGAGGTGGGGGGGGTGGCCTTCATTGCACCTACACCCTCCTGGGCCTGCCCATGCCCTCAGCTCTGTGGCAAGAGCAGGGGCTGGGCAGAAGCTGTGATGCTCCAGGCAGGTGCCACTCAGGGAGGCAGCTCAGGGCCAGCCCAGCTTTCCAGCTTTTCTTTCCTCCTGGGATCTCCCTCCTCTACTCCTCCCTGCCTGTACCGCCTCCCCACCCCCCACCTGGGGCTTTGAGACTCCAGCTGAGGTGGGCACAGGAGAGGGGCAGCCACATTCCCAGGGACTCCTAATGGGGACAGAGAGATCTAGTCTTGTTCTCTAAAGCTGCCAGGTGCTAGGGATGGAGGTAAGCCCAGGGTCACCTGTTGGGAAGTAGGCCCGTGGAAAGAAGCCGGGGAGGAAGTGAGGCAGCAGTGGGACAGAGCAGAAGTGGTTTCTCATGAGCAAACTGACATGACCAGCCCAGGATGTGGATGAGGTCCAAGGAGGTGTGCCAGTGTCCTGTGGTCCGTCTTTGGCCCCAGATAATAATTTCAAAATAATTATTTTAATTGGGTGAATTTGATGTTGTGTAAAATCTGGATTTTTAGCTCCTCTGGAGAACATGGGAAGTTCTACCAACATCTCTCAGTCTCCCTTGTGGCAAAAATCAGCCGAAGTCGAGTTGTGGCTGCCTTGGGTCAGGCACATGCTCTCTAGCTTGCCCGGTAACCCTCCTGTGCAGGATGTCACAGGGTCCTGAGGCAATGTATCAGTCACCCAGCCCCTTCACTCACTGATGTCACCTGCCTGGCCATTGTTGGCAGTTGAGTTTGTTACAGTGTCCGCTTTGGGATTCTGGGATCTTCTGTCGGTCAGGTGCCAAACAGGTGTGCACACAGAGCGTGCACAGGAGATGGGGGTGCTGCTCCAGTGGCCTCAGAAGTGCTCCCTGGCAGCAGGGGAGGGTCCATTCTAACAGTGCTGGGCCCCCAGCCCCAGAGCTTGGGGCCACCAGCATGGGCCCTTCATCTGAAGAGCGCTTGCGGGATTTAGTCCTTCCTCGTCCCCTCAGTTCTCCACTCCTAACGAGGCCTGGCTGTCCCCCCATAGGTGCTGGGACATCAACGCCAATGTGTCCATCTGGTGGGTCATTCGGGGGCCTGTGATCCTCTCCATCCTGGTGAGTGGCCGTCTTGCCAGGTTGGGCTCCAGTGCGAGAGGTGGAAAGAGTGACTGGCCTGGACTGAAGGCCGAGGGAAAGCGCTAGCATGGCCCCCTCCAGGAGCCAGGAGGGAGGGATAAACCAGGGAGCTTCTAGAGGTTGGCCAGCACCAGGAGGGTCTAGATGGTGGATGGGAGAATGGGGGGATGGGGGATGGGAGTGGGATGAGGTGCACTCAGGAGACAAAAGTTTACAGAACTCTCTTAGGTCCGTGAGCAGCCACTAAAATGTGGTGAGCCGAGCTCCTTGCCCTAAACTGCAGGGTTTTGTGCCGGCCTGAAATTCCCCCGTTCTGATCTTTGGGTCCTGATCTTTTTTTCTAGATGTTCCTCTTGTTAATTGGAGAAGAGTCACTGAGCTGTGATCATGGACTGGGGAAAGCTCAGTGAGGCTTGGGGTGCTGTTGGTGGGGGTTGCAGTCCTGGAGGGGTAGCCCCCAGGGAGGAGATACAGGACTCTCATGGAGAGGGAACTCAGAGCGTCTTTCCATTGGGCTACCCTTCAGAATCACCTGCGGTTTATTTGTTTAATTAATTAGTTCTTTTAAAAATTTTGTTCATTAGAGAGAGAGAGTGTGTGTGTGTGTGTGAGAGAGAGAGAGCACATAAGCAGGGGAAGAGGCAGAAGCAGACTCCCCACTGAGCAGGGAGCCGGACCTCAGGCTCAATTCCAGGACTTGAGCCCAAGGCAGACACTCAATGCCTGTGTGCCCAGTGGGGGGTGGGGGGGTTGAGTTCTCTGGGTTCGGAGGCCTGGAGCTGAGCCTGTGGGTACAGACAGGAAATAGGAGGACAGAGGGCGGGGGACCTACCAGGGTTGTCTCCTGGGCTGCAGAAAACTTTGACAGGAAGTGCCCTTCCTGGGCTCCCTGGAGAGGGAAAGGGGGCAGCCCAGGGCAGCAGCCCCAGCCCCCACCTTTCAGTGGCTGGTTGGTGACCTTGGTGGGGGTGGGGGGTGGGAGAAGGGGGCCATTCCAGGACCTCCTTGTTTTTAATTTTCTTCTTCTTTTCTTTCCCCCAAATAATAGAATGCAAGTTTAAAAAAAAAAAGTTGGAAGATACAAAATGTGTTTTCCAAAAGGGAAAAAAAAAATCACCCATACTTTCAGCACCGAGACACACACTGGGAATACACATATGCTTTTACTTCCTTTTTTTTTTTTTTTTAAAGATTTTATTTATTTATTTGACAGAGAGAGAGAGAGAGAGATCACAAGTAGGCAGAGAGGCAGGGGGGGGGGGGGGGGGAAGCAGGCTCCCCGCTGAACAGAGAGCCCAGTTCGGGGCTTGACCTGAGCCGAAGGCAGAGGCTTAACCCACAGAGCCATCCAGGCTTCCCGCCTTCCTATCTTTTTTTTTTTTTTTTTTTTTTTGAGCACATATCCTTTTTTTCAAAATGCCTAATATAGTTTTGTATACTTGCTTGTGTTTCTCACTTAGTAGTAGATGTGAGCTGTCCCGTGGCCTTTGAAATGATCTGATCCACCGATGTGCTCTGGCTGCATAGTACTCCCAGGGTCTTTCCTTATTTAGTTAGGCCAGTTTCTTTGCTGTCATTCTGGGGATCTGAAGGCCCAGCCCAGGAGAACCCCAACAGAGAGACGATGGGCCCCCAGGGTCTTGGTGGATTTCACCAGACTGTGATCTCTCTAGTGCTGTTTGGGGGCACTCTGTTGCATAGTATCTCCCAATAGGGGCCCCTCACTGGCTGAATTGGAAAAGCATGCACTCTTGATCTTAGGGTCGTGATGTCTTAAATAAATAAGAACTTAAAAATATCTCCCAACCAGTAGCTCATGGGGCCTAGAATTCCACCATTTAGGACTTTAAGATCTTGAGATTTTTTTTTTCTTTTGCCCTCAGGTGCTCCCTATAAAATTAAATGTAATTCTAAGGCCGAAAAATAGATGAAACTAAAATAACCTTTATTCATTTACACCATGCATAGCCAGCTCCAAGCCAGCAAGATGCATAAACAAACAAGAAGCTGAGAAGCAATTTTCCTCAAGAGGCGGCTAGGCTAGGAGTCCTGGACGGACCACTAATCCTTGTCTTTGCGCCAGCGTTCCCAGGCCCCAGACTGGTTGTGGGAACAATGAGGGTACCTGGCAGGGCGATTCCACTGATCCTGATTTCCCTAAATGGTGCTGGAGCTGGTAGGTGGGTGAGAGAGGAGGACGTGAGCACCTTTATAAAGTCCTGGGCTTGGGGGAGGGGACACCAAAAGAAATAATGAGAGGGCATTCCTGTCCTTTAGTAAGTTATGATTGAATTGGCAGATAAATAGACACACAAGTTTGACAGATGCCTGCATTTGGTTTGGCCTCTTTCAAATATTTCACGTGCTTACCCAATAACATGATCCCTAACTGCCATGTATCAGGAAGGAGAGATAATCAAGGGTGGCTTCCTGGAGTTGGTGATTCAACTGCAAAATGACTCTATAGGCCTTTGAAGCAGTGGTTCTCGAAGTGTGTCCCCCAGACCAGCAGCTTCAGCATTACCTGGAAGCTTGTTAAAAATGCAAATTTGGGGGCCCCACCCCAGATTTACTGACCTGGAATCTCTGGGGGCGGGAACCCGCTAATCCGCACCCAAAACGTTAAGAACCTCTGCAGGAAGGAATCCTTGTCACTCAAAGTGTAGCCAAGGGCCAGCTTTTGCATTATCTGGAGCTTGATAGAAATGCAGACTCTGGGATGCCTGGGTGGCTCAGCTGGTTAAGTGTCTGCCTTCCACTCAGGTCATGATCCCAGGGTCTTGGGGTCAAGTCCTACATGAGGCTCCTTGCTCAGCAAGACTTGCTCCCTCTCCCTCTGCCTGCCACTCCACCTGCTTGTGCTCTGTTTGGCAAATAAATAAATGAAATCTTAAAAAAAAAAAAAAAAAAAAGAAGAAGAAGAAGAAGAAATGCAGACTCTCAGGTGAGTGGTGATCTGCCTTTTTACAAGACCCCTGGAGGATGCCAATGCATTCCAGTGTGAATGACCCCTGCCACAGCTTAGCAGCCCTTAGAGCTCCTGCAGCCCAGGATAGGCGCGGGTACTGGGTCAGACATCACCTCCAGACAGCCTGTTCCCCCAGGACTCTCTGGGGCCAGGTGGAGGGTGGAGTGTCTCAGCAATGTGCAATCCCGGGTGTGGTCTGCAATGACTTCTCTGGCCCCAGGGCCAGGGGTCAAGGCCAGGAGAGGTGGCAATCACCTTCAGCCCCTTCTCGCTCTTGTGTTTTGCAGATTAACTTCATCCTTTTTATAAACATTCTAAGAATCCTGATGAGAAAACTTAGAACCCAAGAAACCAGAGGAAATGAAGTGAACCATTATAAGTAAGTGAAGGGCAAAGTCGGAGGCCCACTCAGTCAATCAGCAGGTATTTACGAGTGCCTATGGTTTACAAAACTGGCCCTGGTTCCAAGGAGGTTATGATGTAATTGGGAATGAGGGTGAGAAGGAGTAGGTCCCACGGGAAAGCCTTAGACACTGCCCCTGTGGCCGGAAGGTAAGAAATCTCTCAGGATCCCAGGGAGCAGAGATCTGTGTTTGGGGCAATGCTAGGGAGTCTAACGATGGGCTTCGGGGACCCAAAATCAGAGAAATGTGTACAGGTCTGTGTGCTTTTCAGCGGAGAAAGGCGCTAGCTTTCATCAGATTGTCAAGATGTGTGATCCAAAAATACTTTAAAACCTTTAAGATGTTAAAGGGAGATACAGTATTAGTCGGTAGGGCCCCATAGCAAAAGAACCACGACACATGGGATGGCATGAAGAAGAGAAATTTATTTACTTGGAGTTCTGGAGCCTGAGGTCCTGCAGTTAGGGCTTCAGTGGGTGAATTTGGGTGGGGGAGACGTAATTCAGAACTGTTAAAGACCAGTCAGTGTTCAGTGAAGACTTTCTCTGTGATGTTCTGAGCTTTGAGAATCTGGCAGTGACCTGGACTGCCTGGTGACAGGTTCTCCAGAACCTCTTTAGGGCAGTGGGTTCCACAGTACAGTGGAGCTGGGCATCCAGGATCAAGTTAAGTTGCAGGCTAAAATAGAGGAAGCCCAGCTCAGTTTGAATTTGGGACAAACAACAAATGGTGTTTGTCAAAATATTTCTCAAAAAATATTATCCGTTGTTTATCTGAAATTCAAATTGAACTGGGCATCCTGTATTTTCTTTGCTAAATTTAGCAATCCTAATCTGGGATCTGGGAGGAAAATGAAAGAACGTCTCCTTATGGATATGTATTATCCAAAAAAAAAAAAAAAGAATGCTGGTTTTGTGAATAATAGGTTCAATGACACATGCACGTAATTTACAAATAATAAAGTTGTTTGGGTGGATACGTGTTCACATTTTTTTCTTCCTGGTGGGGTGCGTGATCAGAAAGTGTAGGGGGCTGGCCCTGGGTGATGAGTATGTGGGGGTTGGAAATTCTCCAGAATAAAAGATAAAACCGCAAAGGTTTGGGGCACCGCTGCTGGCCTCTGCAGTGGGGCAGGTGGGGGCTCTCGGAGCTGTGCCCATGGGGAGGGGCAGGACACCACAGTGGGTCTGTGTCTGCAGGCGCCTGGCCAAGTCCACCCTCCTGCTGATCCCCCTCTTCGGAGTCCACTACATCGTCTTTGCCTTCTCCCCGGAGGATGCCATCGAGGTCCAGTGGTTCTTTGAATTGGCCCTTGGCTCGTTCCAGGTAAGCTTTGGGGACTGTGACCCTCAGGAGTTCTCTCTTTCCTTCGAGAGAAACGGGAGCCATAGAGACAGCAAGCCAGGTCTCCCCAGAAGGGTCCAGCCTCATTGGGCACCCACGCAGGAGGAGGTGGGCAGGACCTCACTGTGCTGTGGGACCCTGAGTGGGACCCAAGTCTCCCACCAGTCAGCTAGGGGGTGGGAGATAAAACTAAGGAGAGAGAGACTGACTCCAGGGAAGACAAAAAGGGTGTGTAGGGAATCAAAATGACATCACCAGAGGGCTATGGCTGAGCCATCAAAAAGCAGGGCAGGAAGATGAGCATTGTGGGAATGGGGGAGGGAGGGCATCTGAAAGAGGATAAGGTCCTCCTCTTCATTCTGGGAAGTCCGTGAAAGGGCCCCAAACTGAAAAATCCAGAAGGAGCGACATCAGCATATTATTCAGAAGCAGCGAAGATTCCACATTCCACGTAGCTGCCTCTGAGGCACAGGAAATGGGGGCAGGGCTGTTCCGAGGTGGCTCTCCTTTCCTGAGGAGAATCACTGGACTCTGAAACTATGGGCACACACAACGTGTCAAAGATGAAAACCAACTTTAAAAAAAAGGAGAGTGAGGGCAGAAATCACTGACCTCCTGATTCATTAAGATGTTGTGAGGCTTCAAAAACAAAGAGTAAAAACAACCACCACCACCACAAAAATAGTAAACATGTTTGGACAGAAGAAGTCTTCACATGAATCCCAAACTTCACAATATTATTTGTTTACACTCTCATAGCTATCTCCTTCCAAAGATAATACGATGTAGCTTTCAGGAAGCCCATACAGAGGACAAAAAAAAAAAAAAAAAAGAGATGAACGATCAGTGAAAAAATGAAAGTCAAAATTGAGTTCAGACAGAGAAGCAAATTCAATAGAGTACTATGAAGGCAGGAGAGATGGGTCATACATTTGGTTTGGAGCTTCCCAGTAGCCAAAGCAAAGACAGAAATGCAATCCATTCCAAGATTTACAATATTTGTAAATGGGAACAGCTAATTCTTGGGGAAAGCCTAGATATGATAGGCTTTGGGGCCTGAGAGAAATTTCTCTCTGGGGGATTTTCCTCAAGAAACCAGCCTGTCCTCAACAACACTGATTATCCTGCAAAGTCCTCCTCAGCGGGTAGGCTTTGGTCTCAGGAATGGGGCTCAGAGTCTCCCTCAGTCCCTGAGTTCGGTTCAGGGTCAGGGGGTCCGGTCAGGGTCACCCTCCTGTCGCTTTCAGGTTCCAGAAAGGACCCATCACTGGAAGCACATTCTTGAGTGGAGTCCAGTCTTGTCCTAACCCTGCCTTCAGACCCCACTCCAGGGCTGTCCCCTCTGCCCTCACTGGGCATCTCCCGTGCACAGCACTCCCTGCCAGGGCTTCAGGCCTCCAGAGAACCCAGCCTCTTGTGTAATCTTTGTTTCTGGACCAGGGAGCTTTCAGGCCCACCTGCTCCTGTACCGTGCGGTGAGGCTGGGCTCACACAATGGTCCATTTAGCAGGGGTGGGGGTTCCAGGTCCACAGGAATGGAAGACCTCGACCTGGCTTCCAGAAATGGACAGTAACCTCACTGAGAGCATGGAGACTCAGGTCTGCCTCCCCACATAGAAAGGGCACTTCTTGTCCCCTGGAGTTGGGGCTGGTGGTTGGGGCCCAGGCCTGCCAGTGAAAGCCATTTGGCTTCTAAGGAAATGATTTGTCAAGAGAAAACCAAAAGCGCTTTTCCAATGTTCCCATAGAATGTTTACACAGGAAACAGATCTTTGACATTTTTTAACCTTTGTTCACATACAAACATATATACCACTTTATCATATATTATACATGAATATTTTATATTTTTATTTTTTATATATTTTATATATTTTTAAAATATATATTTTATAATTATATTTGTAAAATATATTTATATAATATATAAAATTAAAATATATCTTATATAATATATAAAATATTTATAATATGTATTTTATTTATATTTAAAATCCTTTATTATAGAAAATGTTTCCCATATATTAAAGCAAAGAGAGTAGTCGTGAACCCCATGGGACCACTGCCTACTCCAGGCCTGGCTGGTTCCATCTCTGGTCTCCAGCTGCTCCCTTCATACCATCCCCCATCATTTTAAGCATATCAAAGGGATGGTTTTACTCAAATGTAAATATTCTAATATGCATCTCTAGAAGACAGGGGCTTAAAGAACAACACACACAGAACCACCATATATTATCACTGTCACAGGCTTCCAGAAACTTCCAGAAAGTTGATCTCCTTTTTCTGACTATAGAAATACTTACTGTAGAAAATCTGAAAAATAAGGAATAGTTAAAAAAGGTAAGAAAAAATCATCCGTAATCTCATGACCCCAGAAATAACCAGTTAAAGTAATGGTGGGTTCATGTCTAAGCTCTAAGTCTCTTTCCTACCCAGGAAGACACACACACAAGGACACAGCCCATTTAACTGAGGCTGCACTGTGTGTGTTTTTTTCTGTCTTGCTTGTTCTAATTCTGTCTTACCTGTTGTGAACATTTCTCCACGTCATTAAAGTTCTCTCAAGACTTCATTTTTTTAACAAGTGTATAAAAACTGGAATTTCTTAAACTTGCTGGCCTATGGATACTTGGCGCACAACTAACTTTCCCTCCCTCGAGGCTCCTACCCTCACCTGAACTGTGCAAATGTGTCCCAGGACCTCGGAGGCCAGGTACCGCTGGGCCTGGTGAGAGGGGTGGCCCCCACAGCCAGCAGCCAGACCACCAGCTCTGGGCCGAGCACATACAGCACCTGTCCTGCTGAAACCCCTGTGACTCAGTTTCTTCCCGCATGAGACAGGGATCTTCCCTGTTAGGACTTTGGCAAGGATTAAATGAAGCACCTGGAACCCAGAACCCCCCAAGTATGCAGGCCAGGCCGCCTCTCAAAGGCTTTCACACCCTCCAGGCAGTGGTTTCCACCTGGGAATGCCCATTAGAACCATCTAGGAGTTTCCAAAGCTGGTGTACTTACATCATCCCCAGACATTTGGACTCAGGGCCTGGATGGGACTCAGAAGGGGGTGTTAGGGCCTCCTCAGGTCAGAGCTAGGCCACCCAGGCCTCTGAGTGGAGGGGTGCTCACCAGCTGGGGAACCCTCAGGGCAGAAGGAAGGGCAGGGGGGTTGGAGGAGGGTCCCTGAGGAGGCGAGCAGGACCAGCACTGCAGAGACCCTGCCCATGGCTTATGGTCCCCAGCAGGCCTCTGGGCCTCCAATCCTGCATCTCAAGACTGGAGTCCCTGCCCTAGCAGAGCTCCATGCCAGGACTAGGGGACAGGGGAAGGCACTCCTGGGAAAACAGGAGCTCCAGGTACTAGGGAGGGAGGGTCCTAGCAGGCACTGACCCCTACCCAGTAAACTGTATACAGCCTCAGGGCCCCTAGCCAAGGTGATGTAAGCAGAGAAGTCACAGCCCACTCCTCACTGGCCAGAGTCTACACTCGGGCTTGGTCCCGACATCATGCTCACACATCCGTGTTTCAGTCTGAACTGTTGCCCGTGTCCCGACTTCCAGCTTATCTGGAAAGTGAGCCCACCCACAGGGGGCACAGGGTGTCCCATGGGCTGGCCCCACCCCCTACCTGAGGGACAGGTGCACATCGGGGGCTGCCTCTCCCTGCTTCTCCCAGATGACCCACCTTACTAATTCAGGTGACTTGCCCAGTCCCCACGGGCCCAAGTTAGCAGCTTCTCCTCTGAAATCCCCCGTGCACGAGGCTGCCAGGCTGGACCCAAGCCCCACCCCAAGGAGCTGAGCCCTATGAAGCCAGCACAGCCAGGGGCACCATGGCGACCCCAGAAGAGGTAGTCCCAGCACCCACCCACCCCCACGACCACTGGGGGTGAGACGTGTGGGAAGGTTCTGGAGTGCTGGAAGCGAGCCTGGGGCTGGCAACTGAAGGACATGGGAAGGAGGTTGGAGGGAGGAGGCCGGGTGCTGGAGGGCCTCCCCTGACCCCCTGCCGCCTCTGACCCCTCTCCAGGGCCTGGTGGTGGCGGTCCTCTACTGTTTCCTCAACGGGGAGGTGAGTGAGCTCGGCTGCCTGGAAGGAGGAGCTCCCTAGCCATGGGATTCCTGCTCAGAAGCTCCCTGGAAGGGGTGGTGGGGAGAGATGGATGTGTGGCTGGGGGAGGCCTGGGTCTCCGGAGCTCACTTCCTAGGAGCCCTAAAGCACCAGGAGGCCCAGTTAAAACAATTGCTGGGCCCTACTCTTCCCCACCCTGGCCCTATTTCCAGTTCTGCAAAAGAAGGATTCTGTATGTCTGGGTTGGAGCCTGAAAATGTTTAACAAGCATTTAACAAGGCGATTCTTATCCTTGAGCAAGTCCATGAACTAGAGACAAGTGCAGGCACCCCAACAAAAACCCAGGCTCCTGACTGCTCTGCTGCTTGCCTGATGGGGGATCCTGCTCACTGTCCTTCTCTGGGCCTCAGTCTTCCCATCTGTTAAATGAGAGACTCAATAATGCCATCTCTGACACTCAGTTGCTCACTGAACCTCACAGGAGTGTTGACTTCCTGAGAGGGCTGCACACTTAACCTTGAGGTCTCTGCCCCTACCCAGAGCATTTCAGTTGGGTGGGGACACACACAAGCCATGTAACCCACATTAGTCAAATAGTGCCTCACCCAAGGCAGGCTTTCCTGTAACAGCTGACCATTTATCTGGTTCACCACACTTGAATGGGAAGAACATCTTGTTTTCCAAAAAGTCTAGCCTGAAGCCTGGCTTCAAAGGTTTGGGTTGTTACAGCTGGGGACTGTGAAGGACAGTTCCAGAGAGCAACTCCAGGGTCCCCAGATAATGTCTGAGCTAGGGTGGCTGTATGAGAATGGGTCCCATTGTCCTGGATGATGATCTGGACGTTGGGAGTGCTGGAATTTGTGAGACCACCCCAAAGCCCCTTCGTCGGGACACACGCTGTAAGGTGACAGGTGGAGGCAGTGTCCAGATGAGAGGGGGCCCTTGATCCCTACTGGACATTGAAGCTAGAAATTGCCCATCTGAGTGGCCTGTGGGAGAGGGGAAGGCAGGACCCCCTGGGCAGGAGAGGCAGGGCCCATCCCAAGGACCTGGGTGCCTGTCTCCATGGCTGACGTCTGGTCTCTGGGGCAGGTGCAGCTGGAGGTTCAGAAAAAGTGGCGCCAGTGGCACCTTCGTGAGTCCCTACTGCGCCCCATGGCCCTCAGCAACTCCTTCAGCAACGGCTCCAGCGGCCTTGCCCAGAGCACCAAGGCCAGCACCTCAGAGCAGAGCCGGGCCACCTGCAGGAACAGTGTCATCTGAGAGTCTGGAGCAGGGCCATCCATGGGACAGACGCCAAGGCAGGTCAAGAGGAGGCCAGACACTGCTGCGGGACAGTCCCGGACCCATCTTCTCAGCAGACATCACCTGCTTTCTCCTGTGACCAACCATCTGCCTCCCCTGAGCCTTGGGATGGGGAGGGGGCTCTGCTGATAAGGTTCCTTAGAACTGAAAGGAATGAGGACACATGGGGCAGGAAGAGGGCCCGAGTCAGGGGCTCCAGAAGAAGACAGGGAGATAAATGGTAGCTGGGACAGGTTTGGTCTGTAACTGCCCACTCTTTTGGCCCTTGAGACAAAAAGTGAAGGATGACACTCCCACTCACTTCCCTATTCCTTCCTGGAGTTTCCAGGGTAAGTTTGAAGAACAGGAAACAGGAGAAATGGAAGACCCTTGGCCCTAGGTGGACCCTCCCTACAACTCACCTGTCTAGTAGCTTGGACCCTACAACCTCAAGACAACTAAATTCACCTGACCAAGTCAGCGAGGCCAAGAGAGCCCCAAGACCCCCGGCTTCTTTAGTAACCCTAGCATGGTACAAGGCACCCTTCTCCTCCTCCTGCTTTTAGTTATCTACAGCCCTGGGGGCAGAAGAGCTGGGAATGGGACATGATTCCATTGGACAGAAAAGAGAAACAGGTTCACCAAGGTCGCATGACTTGCCTCAGATACTCAGCAAGAAGGGGCTACAGTTCAGTCCAGAGCCTTTGGTTTCAAATCCCTGCTCCGAGGCTCCATCTGTATCTTCACTCCTGGGCGGGGGACAGGGGCCTGTCTCCCTGTCTTATGGAGATCTGTCTCCCCTTTACTCTCTGGATCTCAGTTCTTTTGACTGTGAGCACTCCCTCCCCACCATGTTAAGGATGAAAGTGAACTGAACATTTGAACCTTTTATAAAACAAAGCCTCCCAGTGTTCGGTGGGGAAAGCATTCTGGACAGAAGCCTCAACATAGAGAAGGCATCTTGCTGGCGGGTGACCGTGGACAAGTGCCGTCCCACTTAGGGCCTTGGCTTCCCACCTCTGTACCTCCCCACCGCAGAGATAAGAAGCTCACCCCTTTGCACTTGTTGAACACTCCTGGAAGGAAAAGTCAGGCGCTTATTTCCCAGGGCAGAGAACCCAGCCCGTCTGGTTGATGAGTTCCGCTCTCTGAAAAACAGGTTGGCCCATGACACCTTTCTACAGTGATCTCCATGGACTCCATATACACTTAGGAATCAAAGTTTTTTAAAAACCCCCAAGAGACAGACAGGAGCACCAGCCCAGGAAGGGGAACCTGCAGTGACCAAGGCGGGGCAGAGACCAAAAATCCATGGTAGGAGCAGCCACCAGAGCAGATCCGGTGCAGGGGGAAGGCACTAATGTGGAATGAAATGGCTGAGGGCAGAAACCCCAGCTCCGGGGGCAGAAAAAAGACACTGGAAAGGGGGCAACTGGTTACCCAGAAATGCACATCTGAGGGCGAGGATGGAAATCTCCACTGGTCCCTGGTCCCCTTCACCCTCGCTCATCCCCAGGACGGCTGTTAATCATTACTCAAGGCCTGCCAAGGCCCCTTGACCCCCCTGGAGTTCGGCAGGCCCAGATATGTGCTCTTTGGAAATGTGCTCTGCAATCAAAAATGGTACCTGATGCCATCTTGGCCCTTATCAAAGCCAGACACGCACACACCCTTGCCTTGGGAGGAGGCTATGGGAAGTATTGGAAAGCTAGAGGGCTGTCCTGGGAAGCTTGCTGAAGGGTTCGGGCAGGATTCCCAGACGGGATAGCTGGCTGCTGGAAGCTCCAGTTGTTCAAGGATTATGCACCCCCTGCCCCCCACCAGAGGGCAGGGTTCAAATCGCATCAAATGGTTTGAAAACCCAGCATATGCAAGAAATCGAGGGAATCCTGAGTTCTGCGTCCCTGCCACGACAGAAGCTACAACAGGGAAATGTGCCCTTAAGGCCCTTTGAGCTGGTGGAAGAAAAGTCTGAGGCACTGCCTAGATACGCTTCGCTGGAGGAATGATCCACTCTGGGCAACCCCAGGAGACCCCAGAGCCCGTATCCCGGCACAGTCAACGAAACAAGTGGGGGCCGCACTTAGCTCTGCAGCCAGCCCAGGTACCAGTTCCTATGATGCTTGCAAATCTATTCCCATCCTGGGAAGAAGGATTCAAGAAAAGGGTTTTTTAAAACGTGTTACTTCTTCTAAAACCAACATCCTACTAACTTGGCTAAGCCCAGGCAGTTGGGGGCACTGAAGCACGGTCCTGGCCTCTGGCCCCGTAGGCCAGCTGCAAAGGCCCCTGGGTTGATTCTGGCCAACCACCCGAAAGGTTATTGGCTGAGAGACAGCAGTTTCAAGGTTATTGCCCCACCCTCCCGCCCCTCCCCCCCACCCCCACCGGAGGTCTCATGTTGGAAAAGTCCCATCTTGACCATACTTTCTTGCAGAAACCAAAGTCCTCAGATTTAGGAGGGGGCCCTAAAATTTCCTTGGTTGGCCCCAGGGGTGGGTGATGCTGCTTAAGTGCAGGCCACTGATGGCATTCAGAAAGAAGAGGAAGGAGGCCGTGAACTCGCACCAGAACATCAGGGTGAAGCCAGTGAGCGTGACATGGTTCCAGAGGAGAATCACGAAACTCAGGAGGCCCCCGGAGGAGAGGATGAAGGAAATGAGGAGGACGACAGAGCCCATGGCCCACTTGCGCCGTGAGTGGAGGTCTTCACACACCTGGGACACCATGAGGAGCTCTAGGCCCAAAATGGCAGCCACCACGGCCAAGGCGCCCACGCTGCGGGCCAGGACCATGCCCATGGCCAGCCCAGGCACACGTGCCTGACTCAGGTCTCTGAGACAATGTGTCCCCGTCTGGTTGGAGGAAGTGCAGAAGTGCCAGAGCCCGAAGAGGCGGTCTCCATCCAGCAGCCAGTGGCCATCGCAGATGGAGACGGAGGAGAGGACCAAGGCCAGGGCAGCGCAGACAATGATGAGGGCCCGGATGAAGGATTCCAAGAAGGGCCGCTGGGGCCTCCTCTGGGCCAGCAGCCTCTGGGCCTGGAAGACATCACGGAGGGCATGTCAGGGAGAGGGCCCTGCTCCACCCCTCCAACCTCTTCAGGAAAAACCCTTGTCCATGCCCCCAGCTTCCCAAAGCCTTAATTTCTGCTGTAGTCGCCTTCAAGGCCCAGAATGCCAACCTTTGCAAGTAGCTTCCGTCCCCCCTCCTCCTTACCTTTCAGCACAGACCCACCTCCTTAGGGAGCCTTTCCCCCATTCCACCTGCTCCCTGTCCTCCATTCAAGACCTAGAAGCACCGACTGTCCCAACTATTCATCAGGCATGAAAAGTTCCCTGACCTTTCTTTAATGATCTCCACAAATAAGAGACCCAAATTCCATTGACTAGCAGGTTGGCAGATCCTAGTCAGTTCTGAGTTCAGTAAACTTGTCAGGCCAGGCTAGTGTGACCTTGAATTTGCAGTACCCCCTGGGTTTCTTTGTACACAAAGCAAGAATCTGAGCACCGGATTATAGTATTTTTTTTAATTAGTATGCTAATACAAGCTACATTCCCCCTCTCCCAGGACTTCCCAGTACACTTCAGTTTTACCCTAATCTCCACCCAGCTGGTTCTGCACGTACCAGACTCCATGTTATTACCTTGTTTTCCTCAGTACTGAAAATGATGTTTGCACTTTGCCCTTCGGTCTTGTCCAGCCTGAACCTGAACCCCACCCAGAGTTTGTCAATCAGTATGTCTGTCTAGTAGCTTCTCGGCGTGGAGAGGCCGCTGAGGCTCTTTCCAGCCCTGAAGGGTGCACCTGCCCCTCCCTTCTGGCAAACTGGGCCAGGCATCCAGCGAGGTGTCCCTTATCTCACAGCCCTGGGACACTACCAGGTATGGGTTCCATCCCCAACCAGAAAGCAAAAGAAGAAAAATACTGCAAAGAGTCAAACTCCTTACCACTGCCCACAAGCCCTGCTCCTTCTGCCCTGCCTCCCTCTCCCACTTCTCCCCCCAGCACACTCTTCCTGGCCCCTTTGCTCAGACGTAGCAGACCCAAAGACAGACCCAAAGACCCAGACCGAAAGACAAAGCCTAGAACTTTGTTCCTCAGACCTACTGGCCCCTCCACCTAAAAAGTTCTTCTCCAGGCTACTTCCTTTTCTCCAGTCTTCACGTCTCTGTGGAAATGTGCCTTCCTCACAGAGAGCTTTCCTGCCTCCCCAACCCCACCCAAACCAGGTCTCTTCCTGTCAGGGGCTCTGTCTTCTTCACTGTTCTGACCACCAGTCATCCACTCCCTTCTGACTTGTACTGATTATATATTGCCTGTTGCATGCAGACACTGTGTTCTCCAAGAGGGTAGGGCCCCTCAGTTAGGCATCCCTGGTCCATTGCGCAGAGCCTGACCTGGGCATTCAGTGAGCGTTTGAGTGGAGCCTCAGGATGAATGAACAGTCATCGCCACCACTGTCTCTGCCATCTGAAGCTCCCTCTCAATGAGTCTCCTGCCCAGTCATAAGTTACCCCCCTTACAGCATATATGAAAGCAACCCAGGCGACAGCCCAGTCTGGGAAGCAAGCAAAGCGGGGAGTCATGCACGGGGAAACCGGACAGGGACTACGTACAGTGTGCTCCCTATACCATGTGCGAATGGAGGCTTCCAGAAGCAATCGGTGGTAACAGAAAGCAAAGCCATGCTCCAAGGAGACTCTTGCTGTCACAGCCCCAGCAGGAACATCAGGTCGGTGGCTAACCTGCCCACCCGAGCAAGAGTCACTGCTAAATTTCAGCCCAAGGGATAAAAGAATAAGGACCTGGTTTGCTTTCATCACTTCTACCAAAGCAGGGCCCTATTTTACTCAAACCTGTGAGACTGGTTGAGTAGGGAGCTCCACCGGGGGTGCGTAAGGAGGGAAACTATGTCACATAGAGGTCAGATGACCTCCCCAACATCACTCACCTAAATCACAGTAAAAAAAACCGTTACGGCTGCCTGCAAAACCGTATATTGTACAGGGCGTGGGATGCGTCCGGCCAACACATAGTGACCCAACACACAGTGATGGGGGCCTTTGTGTTAGGGGCTCAGTACAAATGATGAGGAAGAGGAGTAGACAGTGCAGAGGGATGCCCAAAGCAGGGTCAGGGCCCCAACTCACACCCCCAGACAAAGGCAGCCTGGGATGTTATAAAGAACACTCCAGTGGAGTCGGCTGTGGTTCTCAAACGAGGACCCCTTGCTTCCTAAGCGGCTTCCAGGGGGCTGAAACGGGGACAGAGGACGCTGAGTGGGCCACGTACGACTGCTTCCCTACTTTAACCACAACAGGCCCTTCTTATCTGCTGGAAACACTGGGAGCCTAGGAGTCTGTGCTGGATTTCATCAGAAAACAACAACAACAACAACAAAACCAAACCAAACGGCTTTTCTGCTAAGAAACAGACTAAGGAAATGTTGAAACTTCTGTGTCTACAAACCATTAAAGGTGTCTGTTCTTGGGTTTGTCCATAGTATTTCTCTGAGCCTCTCTGGCCCTCGGGTGTCTCATCTACAAAATGGAGTTGGCGACCCCCGAAGGAGACCAAGTGCCAGGAAGTTACCTGGCCGGGTTAGGAGAGGCCCCTAGAAAGTCGATTGGTAAGGTCGGGAGATGGGAAAGCCCCAGATGCAAGACCACAGTCAAGTCACGAAACACAGATCCCAGGACCCAGAGAACAGGTATGTTCTGTGCCCCGCTCAGCCCCACCTGCCTTGGGCACAAACTGGACTTTAGTCTCCAACCCTTCAGACACCACACTGGGATCAAATAGAAAACAGCTCAGGTCATTTCATCTCTTTCCCCTCTCACCTCAGTGCAGGCCTTCTTGTAAACTCTCTGATCACCAAGAAAACTCCCAAGGATTAAATGAGATCACGTATCTAAAGGTATTTGGGGACCTCTGATAATACGAGCAACAAGAAGAATGCATATTGGAGTTTTCATTCCGTCCTGCCCACACGCAGCTCTTCAGACTTGCAGTGACCCAGGGCCTGAAACCTCCTCCCGGAGGGCAGCTTGCAGCAGTGTGCTCAGCCGAGGGCCAATGGACGAGAGGGAATCAAGGCTGTCTAGAGCTGTCCCTGCTCTGCCGACCTCCAGCTGTGGGACCTTGGCCAAGGCACTTAAATCTCTTTTCCTCTGCGAAAAAATGTGTTTCTCTTTTCCATCTCTAAACCCAAATGATTCTATGTTCAGGACTGGGTCACTCGATATTCCTGCACCACCGAGTCCAAGGGCAAGGTCTTCTTTTCCTCTATACCCCAGGACCCCACGGCTCCCCTCAACCCCAGAGGCCCTGCTCACATCCTCAACAACCTCTCCCCCCACCCCCTTACATGCCCACTCTGTACAGGCCCAGGTCAAGCCCCCACCATTATTAACCAGTAACTTCTTAGCCAGCTTCCTAAAGACTTGGCCTGCACAGCCCCATCGAGCCTGCTTTTTGCTGTCTGTGCTCTGGCATGCATGCATCCCCTCTCTCGGGGGTTTTCTTACCATAAAGGAAGATACAGCGGTATTCCTCTGGGTAGGGCAGGAAGAAATTATCACAAGAGCTAAAAACAGCCCCTGGCACAGCTTTAAGGGGCTCGGAAAAGAGCAGCCACAATCAGCATCTGCAAGGGACAGCGCCCAGTGCGCCCACCCTGCAGGGCAGCCTGTGCTGAGGCGCCACCCTACCCATGGCCCTCCCTGTCTCTCCATGCGCTAACGAGGTCCCTCACCTGCTACCAGTCTTCTGGCCCCTCGGGGCCCAGCACACAAAGCCCCACCCTATTAATCCAGCCAGCCCATTCTGCACCTCTTAATTTAGCACTCACTTCCTCACAGGTCTTCTAAATCCTTGTTTACAAGTCTCTGTCCGCAGTGGACCGCGGGGCTACCGGAGGCTGCTGTGTCCTGGCTAGATGGGGTTTGGGGGGGTGGTGACTGGTGGGTAGGGTTTCTCCTGCTAGTAAAAAGCAGAAAGGGCAAGTAGGATTCGGAGCCAAGAATTCCTGCTTTGAATCTCGATTATGTCGCTTAGCCGGCTGCAGTGGGCTGGCTACTTCACCTCTGAGCCTCAGTTATTTTGTCTATAAACTGGGCAGAACAGCATCTACCAGAGTCAGTGTTGGGGGGCGGGGCTTTGGGCATCCGCATGCAAAGTCAACGAGCCTCTCCAATAGTTAGGATTGTCCCGCCTTTAGACTCGCCTGAAGACTCGGGACCAGGCGAGCTGGTAAAATGCCTCGGTGGAGAAGTTCGCTCTCAGGGTAGCCTAGGTCCCGTCACTGAGTTGCCTTTGGACAGCAGCGTGCCCGAGGAAGGGGGCAGGAACGGGTAGGTTCTCAGCCAACAAAACCATCTTTCATCAGCCTGAGAAATCAAACCTTCGGGGATGCGGGTACCTCCCCTCGCTACAGCCTTCTCTATGAATAAAGTATCCGCGCGCACCAGAGAGTGCGTCCCTGCGCCAGCACCCGAGACGCGTCTGGGAGGTGGGCTTTCTAGCCCCTGCCCAAGAAAGTTCCCGCTTCTCCGGAGACGCATCCTCACGTTACATAAGACTTGCCTCACTTTGCAAGCGGACTATGCCCATTCCTCCACCCCAGACGCACCCCTCCCTTTTAAAAAGGCTCTGGTGAGCCTCACCACGGTTACTGGTGACCCCAAAGAGAAGCAGAAAAATCCACTCCAAGAAGCTTGGGAGCCACGGGGGCTTGCGGGACCGCAGGAGACCTCGCGCAGGAGTAGCACTGGGCTGGGGGCATGGGGGGGGAGGGCAGGGCGGGGGCCCCAGGTTGCTTCCGGCCCACCTTCCTCCGAGCCCCGAAAGCTCGCAACAGAGCGCTGGCACTATGGGGCACTCCCGGCACCCCGTCCTCCCGCGCGGCTGGGTCTGGTGCTCCGCGCAAAGTCCCCTCCGGCCTCCCGGTGGGGCAGAGCCCCGGGGCGCTCGGGGGCAGCCGGCTCAGCGCCCCGCCAGGTCCCCGGGGTTACCTGCACGGCGATGGCAGTCATGCTGCGCCGGACTCGGTCGCGCGGTCCTCCTCGCGCCCTCCAGCCGCTCCGCGGCCGCCGCTGCTTTGGGTCCGGACCTCTCCCCGGGGGCGGAGCAGGGAGGCTGGAGGGCGGGGGAGAGGGACGGGGCAATCAAAGCGTAGCACTGGAGCCCGGGGCGGGCGCGTCTGGCCCCGCCGCCCTTTGCGGCTCGGTTTACGCTGAGTCAGCGCAGGCGGCCGGGAGGAGCCCCCGGGCAGGGGCAGGGGCAGGGGCGGGGAGGGGACGGAGGGCTCCAGACTAGGGGGCGCGGACCAGGCCTGAGCCGGCTAGGGTCCCCTCTCCCACCCCTACCCCCCACCCCCACCCCCCAGTCAGAGGGAGGAGGATCCGGCACTCGCGGGAGAGCTGACCCGGCTGACTTCGACGCCGGGAGTTAACTTCCTTGCTCCTGAACCTAGGGGGGCGACTACTCCTGGGGCTCTGATTCCTTAAGGGAGGGGCAGGCCGGCGCCACAAGAGCCGGTTCCAGTCCCAGCTTGTCCGGAGGGGGCGGTAAGGTCCAGAGAGGCGAGGTCCGCGCCCGGGCTCTGCTGCCTTCGTCACCCGCTGTGTGGCCTTGGGCTGCTTGTGTAACGTCTCTGAGGCAGGGTCAATAAATAAAATATCTGTGAAAAGTCGGGGTCTTCCGAGCCCCGCAGTAAGTATAAACGTAGTGGAACTTTCTGGGGGCAGTCCTTGCATCGCTTTTGTCTCCCCCAAAGGGGGATATACAAACTGGCTACTTCCTGGCCCCAGGGACCACTGAAAAGGAGAACAGGACAAAACAAAAGTCATCAAAGCCTCTCAGGTTGAAGTCCAGCGGAGAGCCAGGAATGGACATAATTGCCCATCCCAGTCCGGGTTTCACTTCTTTCCACGCTCATGCACCAAAATCACTCGTGGGGGGCGGGGGAGAGTACTTATTAAAATCAGATTGCTGGGCCCCACCCCCAAATTTCTGATGGAGTAGGTGGAGGGCAAGACCCCACCGTGTGTGTGTGTGTGTGTGTGTGTGTGTGTGTGTGTGTGTGTGTTTCCAACAGGGGGCTGTGGCTCCTCCTGGTCTGGGAGCCACGAAAGGAGAATCATTGAGCTAAGCAAAGGGCAGCTGGCCAGACCCAGCCAGGTAGGCCCCTCTCTGCTGGAGGGGAGGTCTTCCCTCCCTGGCTCTCTCACCTGCCTTCTCCTCCACTTGCAGCCCCCAGAAGCCAGGCTCTCCTTCCTCCGGAGCCCTAGGCTCTAGAGGAGGGCCTCACACAGGAAAAGAGGACCTGGCCCTGTTGGGGTTCCCTTTCCAGAGCCCTAGGATGCTCTGTGGAAGGGACTTTCTGGGGTTTCTGGGGCCTGAAGAATTTCACTTGACCCAGAGGGGAGTGCCTGGACTCAAAATCAGGAAGAACTGTCAGGATGGCTGACCCGTCCCCCACCTCGTGTGTTCGCACGCCTTCTAAGATTCCATGTGTGGTCAGGCGTGTTTGGGGATACATTGCCTATTATGCTTCTTTGGTAAGAACAGAAAGTCTTGAATCAGTGGAATTTAGAACATGTCTCATCAGCAAGATTACTAGAGAAGAGAAATGGCTTAGAAATCATAAGGAGGAAGTGACTGTCATTTTACTGTCATAGGAAGGCCGGGGCATAGCCAGGAGTCTGGGTGGAGTTTGTGCTGAGAACCAGGCAACAAGTCTGGGAGCTGGTCACCTGGGCTGGTCCTTTGCATTCTAAAATCCTGGAGTTTACCTTGGTGCCCAGGGCTTGGGGCCAAGTGGGCACACAGCACCCCCTTGGGGTATCCTTAATTCCTGCTGAGATGGTGAGAGAGGCAAATAACTCTCCAGGAGATGACCATCTGGAGGGGCAAGGAGTTCCCCATGCCATGGGGGGCGGTAGCAGGGGCAGAGATGAGGGGTGGGGTGATGGGGTGGGTCCCCCAGGAATTAAAAGCAGAAAAAGCATGGGGACAGCACAGAACTAGCCCTGTTCCTTGACTTTCTCTGCCTTTCCTCCAGGCAGTGTGACAGCTTCAATACCTGTCCCTCCCAATTCTCTGCTTCTAGGCTGGGCCAGTGTTGGAAAAAGAGGGATGGCATAAGGAAAGGAAGGAAGTGACTCCCATTCCACCCTGCTGACAACTCTTGTTTGGGGAGAAAGACCGAGGCATTGTTCTCAGAGACTTCCAAGGCAGAGACACAGGTACTGATTAATAAATCAACAAGTAACAGATCTACTGGTCAGTCAACAAGCACTCCCCACCTCTGGGCCTTTGTACTTGTTGCTTTCTGTCTGAAATGTACTTCGTGGGGTGCCTGGGTGGCTCAGTCCTTGAGCGTGTCTGCCTTGGGCTCAGGTCATGTTCTCAGGGTCCTGGGATCAAGCCCTGCATTAGGCTCCCTGCTCAGCGGGAAGCCAGGCTCTCCCTCTCCCACTCCCCCTGCTTGTGTTCCTTCTCTCGCTGTCTCTGTCAAATAAATAAAATCATTAAAAAAAAAAATTCGTTTGAAATGTACTTCCTCAAAATAAACACCTGTAAGGCTCCCTGCCTCACCACTCTTTTGAGGTCTAGGCTTAGAGATGACCTTGTCAGGGAAGCTTACCGTGACCACCACATCTAAAACCTCTAGTCACCAATCACACACACACACACACACACACACACACACACATCACCTTTCCCCCTATAGCATAAGCTCCAAGGGGCCAAGGACTTTCCCATGCACACTGGTTTATCCCTGGTGCCTAGAACAGAACCAGGCATACAGTAAGTGCTCAATAAATATTCGCTGAGTACATGGATGAGTTGGTTGAATACCTACCATGTACCCACCACTGTCCTGGCCAATGAGGGACAAGGGAGAAAAAGACAAAGTCTCTGTCAGTGGTAAAATGCTTGGGTTTAGGGTCAAATTCTGCTTCCCCTTTTTTTTCTGCTCCTTCCCTGGCATCCCCAATTCAGGCCACGTTGTCTATCCCCATAGTCCCTCACACCTTGGATCCAATCCATCCTCCCTGCCATGGGCCCCACCATCTCTGAGCCTGCGATGTCTGTGGACCAGCCTCCTGCTTGGTCTCCCTGCCCCACTCCCCACCTCCTCTATTCCTTCTTGCAGCTTCCTAGCCCCTTTTCCCAAAGCCCATGAGGCTGGAGTTATTTGATCCTTGCCTACTTCCCTTGCCTTGCCTGGTCTCAGGGCTTCCGTGCTCACTGGGTTCTCTCTGTGTGGGAGGCCCTCCCACTTCCCTGCTTCTAGGGTGTCTACTGGGCAGGGACGTCAGCTGGGCCCAGGCCTCGCTTGACTTCCCAGCCTAAGTAGCAGCCTCCCACCCCCCACATGCTTGCCCCTCTTGACGACCTTTGTATGCTCTTTGTCATTAGCTCAATTTCTCTATTTGCTTCTTGGATTTTCTGTCTTCCCCTCTAAAAAGCCCCCTGAGACCCGGGACTGTCTCTCACTGCTGCATGCCAGTCCTAAAAACAGGGACCCTCAGTAAAGTTCAGAGTGCACTGAGCGGTGGACCAGGCTTCAGATGCCTTCTGGGCCGATTACTTCCCCTCTGGAAGCCCCTCTTTGATGTCAGATGGGAAAACTACCTCTCCTGGTGTCATGAGGGTCACAGGAGGCAACTGTTGTGAAATGCCCTAAAGACTGTCTGGCAAACCAGTGCCCGAGGTCCTGTGGTCTAGACCTCCCAGTGTCCCCGATCCCAGGGACCAGGGACGCTTAGAGGGGAGACGGCTCCAGCCCTCCTGTTTGGGAGTGTCAGCCTGCAGAAGGAGATCTCTGCCCTGGAGTGGTCTCCTTTGAGGGGTTGGGGCTGGGGTCTAAGGGGCAAGAGAGGCAGACCCTCCAGTGACCCGGAAGGCACTCATGGAGTCAGCCCTGAGCTCCGCGGTTCACTGAGCAGCTTGAAAGCTGATGACTAACCCAGTCTGCCCCTCGCCTTGTACTTGGACCTCTCCGACTCTTGCCTGCTTTCTGGCCTTGGAGACAGAACAGCATCACCCTCTGCCTCTCCCCTCTCCCTTCTCGCCTCCGTGCCTCCTCCCCTGGGTCCTGCTTTCACCCACAGGGTCTTCCTCTTCTCCCAGCTCCCTTCCTCTGGGCCAGTCCCTGTCCCTTCCGCACCAGGCCTCCTCCTTGCCCTTTGCCTCCTAGGCTGTGCACTCCAGCCCTGCATTCTGACCTCCCTGTCGCAGGCTCCATGATTGCGACACACAGATCTTGTTTACCACATTCTAGTGTGGCTGGGGGCCACGGGGCTCGCCTCTGTCCCTTCTTCCTCCCAGGCAGGCCGCAGGTGTAAGGAATGAAGCAGGAACCACACACACACACACACACAGAGGCACATACATGTTGAAAGTGGCAGGGACTGATGTCAATGGGACCTCTGAGGATGACCTTTCTTTTTTTTTATTTCAAGGAAAATTTATAAGTTTATGCTGATATTTTCAATTCAACATTAAGATTCCAGAGAGTTACTTAACTTCTTTGATTTTTAAAATGTCCTCTCAGGCTAAAAATCTTGTCTCCTAACCAGTTTAACAGAATCGTTTGCTTTATCCTATAATATACCTATAATGTCTCAAAATAACCATACCAATAAGGAACTCAGATTTAAATTCCTCTGAGGCATTTTTGTCCTTAGAACATTCTATAAAGAATACATACCCAAAAGTGTGTTTTAAAGGCAGTTGAGCCAACAATTTTCTCCACGTTGTGATGCCACCGGTCTGTGAAGGTGACCTTTCTGAGGGGGTCTCTGCTTTCTAAAGCAAGTCCTTCCTTGAGATGGGAGGCCCCCAGGTCACAGGGACCCAAGGATTTCCAGGCAGACTTCATACCCATGCTGGGGACACTTCTAGCACTTTCTTTTCAGACGGGGACACCGGACTTGTTGGGATACTCTGAGGCAGCCGGTCTCTTGGGGATGGTCCCTACTAGCCTAGTACATTCAGAAGTCGCATAGAGCAGACTGCCAGCCCAGCCATGAGAAGAAGGCGGGGTTCTTCCCTAATCTGGGCACCCCATCGAGATCAAAGTGTTCAGAAATCAAGATTAGACCACAGGAATGGAGGGGAAA